TATTCACCCGATCACCAGATCCCCATCAAAACTTCCCTCCACATACAATTCAATGCTGACAAGTTACCACTCGACTCAATTCAGTCCACTACGTCGTGTTCACACTCTGGTATCACATACAGCGGGTAACGGAGGTATTAAAGCGCAGTTAATGTAGTGCATAGCCAACCAACTAAGCCTACCTGCTTCTTCTCCGCATATCTGCTTGCATCTCAAGCTGCTGTCAAAATCACATAATATGTAAGTACTAGGTAAGTAAATCTTGAGTCTAGAGACTCGAGAGTCTCATGCTGTAGAATGTCTCCTCTTTTTGGTTAAATAGCATACTGTAATAAGTAATCTATGTTCAAATATCTATCGAGTATTTCTATCTATTGGTTTATACCTACTATCACCATACGATTCCCACATACCAGCATAATCACCCATCTCACCACCACCTCCAACCCATCCAAGACCCCAACGGCAAAACACACATAACCTCCAAAGATCCATTCGGAAGTAAGTGATATATCTAAGGAGAGTTAAGAAACACTATCGATAACACGCAATACAATATCGTGAAATACCAAGACTCTTGAGTAACTTGACTTCACCCGTGCACATACATAGTACATATTTTTGAATATACATGAATATAATATAATGTCTGTCTGGCTGTCTCTGAAGTTTGTATACTCCGTACACATCCCATTCGGGATTCAACTCTCCCCACCTCATGGATACACAAGATTGAAAAAGGACTCGAGATATCTGGAGATTTAACCTTATGCAGGGGATGAGGTTCTTTGGTTTCTCTTCGCTTTTCTGGAAGAGAGGAGATCTTCTGGTGGGTTGGGTTGGGTTGTGTTGTTTTGCTTCGGGAAGGGCTAGAATAGAAGAGGGAAGAAGAAAAGCAAAAGCAAAAGAATGAATACACCTTGTGTGGATGCCTGACCTGAATAAGTCGAGTGTTACTCTCCTGCTCAGTTCTAATGCTTTGATAGGGTATGGCATAACATGGCTTGTGAGAAAAAGAAATCATAATTCTCAGCAACGGAGCTGTGAAGAATGAAAACAAATCTCAACAAATGTATCGATGATCATTACATATATCATCAAGAAGGCTTTCATACTATACTGTACACAAATCTCGCAAAATCACTAGATTAAGCAGCTCCTCATATATTTCTTTTTCCAACGTAAGATTTTAATCCATTTTGTATGGAGTTACTCGGCCACTTTTTCAGCCATGGTGACTATCAAGCCCTTTATCAAGATTTGAGATTTGGTGAGAGGTGAGATAGAAATCCAAGCTTCTATCTAAAGTCTCGATTCATGTTTGATACAGTGTGTGATATTTGACTATGTATTTGAACATCTTGAAGATAGTTTGATACTTGAATACTAAGAAGAAGAACATCAAGTGGAAAGAAAGCCTTTATGATGATCTCTTGCCTCGGATTCTATATCTTAATCAAAATCTAATATTAAAACAATCAACCAATATTTCTTGATGAAATCTGATACATTAATTATTTATCAATAAAAGAATCTCAATATTCAATCTCGAAAGAATTAAAATATAAGAAAAGATTTACTTTCTATTTTGAAAAAGATGGATTTCTAAATTCTTTCTATTTTTGTAGGTGTGTCCGGCTTTTTCTCTGGGTCGAGCCTAGGTACATTTTCATCGCAACACAAGGAGGGGCAATGGTAAACGCCCTGATTTTTGATATTCCTTGTACGTCATCGCCATTGGCTCTTTTGCATGTTCTCTTGGCTACACATCAAACTGTTTGGAAGCGCGTAAGATCTTTTGAATAACCGCCCTCCTTAAGAATGGTGATTAGATTTATTCTTTTAGAAAGTCAAGTTGATTGTGTTTTGGATTCAATCTCCCGTTCGGTGTTCATCTTCGTCTTCATCGGTTTTTCTATTGGAATCCCCCACGGTACAAGGTAGTTGATTACAAAGATACGATACTCTGATAGATAGAAGAGGCTATTGATCCTTCACTGTTTACAAACGGCACGGATATTCTAGAAAGTAGATATCTGACAGGTTCGCTCGCAAGAAATCACCATGGCATCCGGACATAACGTAATAACTCTTTAACCATTTCTCTAATCTTCCCATCGCAGATTCTAATATCATATAGGATCCTAAGCTTCTCTATGCCATCAACGGTATCAATGCATATCATATCGAAAATGGCAAAGAAAAATCCATCACCCCAAATGGACCTCAAACCCTCTCTCTCCTAATGGTCCCTACCTCTTCCCCCTTCTCCGGTCTCTCAGTCGCAGATCCTCAATCCCAAACCCCAGAAGAAGACTTCTATCTCCACCTCCATCTCCCTCCCGAGCTCGATCTTCCCCTCCCAGCCACTACCCAAATCTATCATCAACCCCCCAGCAGCTATCTCATTCCTCGATGGGATCTAGGACCCGACAGCGGCGTCTTTACCAAAATCGAATTCCCAATCGTAGGAGCATCGAAAGTTAATCAAGATGATGTCGATACTTTTGAAACTATCTTGGCTCAATGCACAGCTTTCCTCGAGCGTGCACCACCTCCACAATCATCTCGTCCGAAGAAAGAAAAGGCGAAATCTACAAAGGAATCCTTGCCTGCATATAATCCGTCGGATTTCGCGCCAGGAGAAGCTTATGTTTCCGGAAGTGCGAGTTCTCATGCGGGTGGACAGATTGTTTTGGTGGATGAGGAAAATGGAAGCGTGGTTGGTGAATTGGGAGAAGGGTTTAATGTCGTTGAAGATGCGAAAATGAAACCGGGATCGAAAGGTATGTATATTGTTTCTTCCCTTGACATTTCACTCGCATCTCTTTCATATCCCTAACAACCTCTAGATCCAGTTGAAATCACTCTTCCCCAAGATGGCTCTCTCAACATTGGTGTCGCCCCAGCATCTCCCGCTTACCTCGAAATGGCCATGCACCCCGCCTACAAATCCTCCAATCTCGTCTCTACAGCCGCCATGGCCTCCCGTCTCATCGTCACAACCTCCAGCTTTGTTTCCAAAACCCTCACATCTCAAGCCGATAACTATACGACGAAATCCGCTCCCACCACTAAACCCATGACTTTTACTCCCACCACTCACGCTCACATCCGTCGAGTCCATACCTTTACCGAAGGCGCCGCGGGTCTTTCTGCAAAAACCGTAGGCCAAGTAACAAAATACGCACAAAACATCGGTGCTACCCTCGCAAAACGTAATCAGAAAGCTCATAGAGGAATTGCTCCCGATGGTAAACCGGTGGATAATTATAAACCCGGCATTCTCAATAAATCCATGATGGCTTTCTCGACTATCGCAGATGGTATTGATCAAGCGGGCCGTAATCTCCTGGCTTCGACATCCACCGCGGCAACTACGGTGGTGGAACATAAATTTGGACCGGAAGCGGGTAATATATCGCGTAACATCGGGGGCGGAGTCATGAATGTCGGATTGGTTTATATTGATGCGACGGGGGTGAGTCGAAGAGCAATTGTCAAGAGTGTAGCGAAAGGAATGGTGGTTGGGAAGGTGAGAGGAGGGGGTGATTTGATTGTGGGGGGTGGTGATGGGGGTGCGGCGATTACTCAGGGTAATAGTCCGCAGAGTGGGAGTGGAAGTGGAAGTGTGACGCCGAGTGAGAAGGGGAGGAAGAATGGTGAAGAGTCGATTATGAGTGGTGGGATTGGGAGTGGGAGTGGGAGTGGGAGGGTTTCGCCCGAGGTGGTGGGGTTTGGGAGGAGTGCGAGTTCGAGGAAGCTGGGGGTGGGAGAGAGTTTGAGTGGGCAGAATGTGGGGGGGAAACGATAGGGTGGGTGGATGGATGGATGGGGGGGAGATGGAGGGGTTTGGTGGAGGAGGCTAGCTTGCTTGCTAGCTTAGGCGAGAAATTAGATGGGATGGTGAATAGTTAGTTTAGTTGAGCAGTACAGTACAGTACAGTAGCGGTCGATCTCGCTAGGATGTAGGTATCCGGTGGGGAGAACAGGGGGTTCGGGTCGGTAATGGCGGTATGAATTTATATGATTTGATATGAAATGATACAACGGGATATGTATGATATGAAGTATAATCTATAAGAAATAACAACATCTTTATTTCTTTTAGTATTGAGAATTTACATCAAATGTATAGGAGTAGTCGGATGATAGAAATTGAATGAATACAAAAAGGGATTTCAGATTAGAATGAAAGGATCTCGTTAAGCGAATGTTGAGGAGATGGAGATGGAGATGGGGAGGGTGATTCGTTGCATGTTTCTTGTGGATGAGAATTGGTGGGTAGATGGATGGATGGATGGATGGATAAGTGGGCTGAGAGAAGTATGAAGTTTGTAATCTTACACAGTAAGGTGAATTTATCGGGGGTAGATGAAGACAAGTGATTATAAGAGTAAGGATTCAAGTAGAAAATATTTTTCAGTTGTCAGTAGGTAGGTGGCTATAATCATTATATACGTATACAAGTGCCTACTGACTCCCTACTTGGTATATCCAACCCATCGCAAAGTTCACCCGCGGATCGTTTTGCGTGATGTTGGAGTATCTCATGCCCGTGTAACCCCAAGGAGGTATAGAGAGGAGAAAGGTATTTGTTGGATCTCTCCATAGACCGCGAGGAAGTACTTGTTTTTTGAATCGAGAGGAAGGTAGGTGGGTGTGTAATCTCTACTTCGAATTACTGAATTTCTTGGTTTGTGAGGAATCTGTAATGGTAAACCTTTTCTGTCTATAGGATCTTGCGATACGGGGGACTGGGATTTTGAAGCCTTTGGATTTTATGGGCTAGGATGAAGATGAAGATGAAGATGCAGAGCAAAAGGATAAGGAGGATGAGGATGAGGATAGTGAAAATCAAAAAGCTTGGAAATAAATGAAAACACAGGTAGATATTCTAGGAGATTTAATAGGGAGGATTAAAGAGGAAGAGGAGATGAGTTTGGTGGGGATGCAGAGGGGATGCCGAGGGGGTAGAGAAGATTGTGGGGATGATGGGGATGTTGTGTAGGGGGGTGTTGGGTGAGGAGATTGGGGAGACTAGGGAAAAGGAGGAGGAGCAGGAGAAGGAGGGTAGGGATGAGGAGGAGGAGGAGGATGAGGATGCAGGGGATGAAGAGAATATAGAGAAACTCTGGAGACGGAGGAGACGGCGGAGACAGCAGAGATGGAAAGTTGAGAAAATGAGGGAGATCAAGGATGAGTAGATGGTGGGTATAGGGTGTGGGATGAATTAGTCATTTTGAGTGGTTTTATGAGGAAGGAACGAAGGAAGGGACGAAGGTAGAATGAGAGTGAGTTTGAGATTTGAGATCTGTAAGATGTTGTTGGGATAATATTAAAGTGCTTTTTCTGGTTTTCTTGAATGAGCCCTGTAGTGACAAAATTAATACTTCAAACGAAAAGAAATTTAATTTAAATCTTCATATAAATTTCAAAGATATATATTATAACATTAATATTCTTTTTGTTATCAATAAAGTACTCATTTTATTAGTAATAAGCATAATCTATTTATTCTAAGATTTGTTTATTATGAATTTTTATAGAAAAAAAAGAAAATAAGAGCTCTAAAAGACCTTAAAGATTTCAAAATCTTTAAATATTAGAATTATAAGAAAGGTGGATGAAAGAGTATATGTGTAGGAATTAGAAAGAGGTTATAGAAGAGAGAAGAGGAGCGAGTATAAAAGCTAAGAGTAAGTAAAAGTTATTAGTTAAAAGTTTAAAGGAGAGTAGACTCTTTTATAGAATATATTACTTTTAAATTATTCTTTAATTATAAGCTTTATTATTGTACTATAAATATAGAACACATTATATGAATAAGAATTTAAATAATTTTTAATCTATATATAGATAAATTTAAATAAGAATTTAAATTTATCTTTAATTTTTTTGTATTATATATATTATGTTATTATATTAATAAATAAACAATTCTATTATTTATTTATAGTATAAAGGTAGTTATGATTCTTATAGATTTGAGAGAAAAATTTTAAAAAGGAGAGGGAAAAGGAGATCGAAAAACAGATAAAATCTAGAAACTTTTTGTATATAAAATAATTATTGTTTTAGACTAAAGTTTTCCATAAAACTTTGAAAATCCAAGAAATTCACTAAGATCTTGTTGATTAGAATAAGCTTTCTTAAATATAATAATTAGATTAATTAGATTAATAGAATAGAAACGATTTATTCTATATAGTATTAATGTATTGAATATTCCCTTGTAACTAAGTAGATGCTTCGTTAGGTACGGAATTTGCCACCATAGGGGAGATGGAAGGTACAGGATGATAGACTACCTTGCCTTATTGAAAATAAGTTCTCATTGTTGTTTCAAAAACAAACAATTGTATTTTCATTCATAATGATTACTTAGTGAAGATGTTTACACGGCATGTTGAGCTGTTTGTTTAGCGGGCTTAAAATTCTTTCTCGCCATGTTATTGACGAGAGCAATAGGCGAGTGTGGGAGAATGATAGTACCTTTCTTGTTCTAGGAGCAAGCCAAATACGATGTAAGTGAAGTCATACGATAGTTAAGAAGTACTTACTAAGAAATGAAGGTTGATTGTCGAATAATTGCTAAGTAACTGATAGTCTGCCAATCTGCCAATGATTCATTCGTAGGCTCTTGAAGTATAACGTAAGTCATGGCGTAATGCGTCTAATGGCGTAATGCGTCTAATTGCGGGGAACCACTCTATTAAAATCTCAATTACTCAACAATCAACTATAATACAATCTCCAGTATCACTTTCAGATTCATCTTCAACTTCTTCTCCAATATCCTCTTCAGTTTCAGTTTCATATTCAATTACTTTCCCTTTCCCTTTTCCTTTTTTCATTGTCTGTACCTTAGTAGCTTTTTCGACTTCCACTACTGCATCACATAATTCTTGCGTAGAAATATGAAAATGACCCTTCAAAACTAGTCTCTTTCCTTTCTTACGTATCGTACGTTTCTTAATAATAGCTCGTAAATTATTCGCATCGTGTTGGTGAACAATACTTTGAGCTCGAAGTTGCTCACTCCCAATCGTCAATTTTCGAATGTATTGACGAACCGGGGTTGAAAGAGTCGTATCATTTTCAATTGTTGAATTTAAAAGGTTATTTGCTGTTTGTAAGATTGCTACATCCGGGGGTGAGCTATTGACGAAGACTTGGTTAAAAATATCAAATTGGGTTGGTTCTTTGGATATTTCGACTTCGGGGGTAAACTCTCGACCCAGTGTACGGAACACTCTCTGTGGATTAAATGGATGTAACCCAGCTCCCCGCCATGCCGATTCGATATTTTGATGATGGCATACGTCGGCTCGAGCTTTAATATATGCCTCCATCCATTCAATCTTTTGTATTCGTACAAGTTGAGCTTGATTCAAATCAGAAAGTGCTGCGGTGAGCCGTTTTTTCAATGGACCGAAAACCGCAACATCAAGTGGCTGAAGCAAATGCGAGGTATGAGGAGGAAGTATAAGAAGTACAATTCGATTTTGAAGGCAGTGAGCTATAAAGCTTCCACTAATATGAGAATCGTGGCCATCGCAGATGAGAAGCCGATATTTGCCACCTGCTTTTGCACGAGTTGCAGGTTCGAAAACGCGTTTTAGCCATTCTAATCCATGAAGATTGCTTGTCCAGCCCTTTGTATTTGCTGAAAAGAACCAGCTACCAAGAACTTCCTTCGGAATCCAATTTTGAAGGACATTTTTACCTTTAAAAATCCCGAGTGGTGGAAGAATGGATCCATCCGCACAAATACACTCTACCATTGAAATCCACTCTTGACGGCCTGGATGTGCTTGATGTTTTGTACGAAGTGTAGAATCGATAATAATTCGAGTTGATTCCATTGTCCCAATTGAATGTCCAGATTCATCCATATTATATTCGTCTTTCTTCTCAATTCCATAATCCTGAATCGCTTTTTGATACGCGTCAAACCAAGTACTACATGTTTCCCTGGTTGCACCATCCATTCTTACAGATTCAATTCGACGGCCAATAACAACTGTAAGATGAGGATGTCGTTTGATAAATCGTGGAACCCATTCATGACCAAGAAGGTGTTGTGGTGGGAGTTCAAGGGAGTCAAATGAGGGGCATTCCAAATTATAAGTCCGTTTTGAACGTAACTCCTCAGCCAATTCTTTTAACAACTGATGGCCTGGTGAATAGCCGCTAATTGTCAATTGCTTTATCCACTTAAGAAGTACATTCTCTTGTACAGCAGAAAGTTTCTGTTGCGATTGACGTGCTTCAGAACGCGATGAACCCCCTTTGACGCGTCGCGTCACAGTATCTTTAGAAAGCCCCAGTTCTTTTGCAGCTTCATATAAAGACTTATACTTTCCATTTTGAACTCCTAATACTGCTTCAGAAAGTCGAGATTCCATTTCCTGCACTTTTAAACTTTTTCGACGGACCATTGTTGAATTGTTGCTTTTTTGATGGGGTGGTCCCCCACAATTAGACGCATTACGCCATTAGACGCATTACGCCATGACTTACGTTATCGTACTTCCAACTTTTCTCCATATCTTGATTCATTGTATCTACAGCTCAATGTCAGCCCTTTTCATTTATCTTTCGTGAATCCCGGATATTCCTCGGATGACGGCATTGATATCTCGTTCATTATTTGTTGCCTCGTAGTTTGTCAAGGTCTGTAATTAGAATCTAGTTTTGAGTAGCTCACAGTTTGTTTTGTTGTGGGAGTAACGTAAATTCCCTCTGTTTATAGTGAAATACTCCTTCTTAGTAGTAGCCCCTTTAAATAAAATGGGTCTTCTTCCGAGTTGAAACCCTGTTCTAGGGTAAAAACTTCGTTATGAGTAGACTGTTCACGAATCTCATTTGTTCCTTCTAAATTGTGATATTGAATTACAGATCAATAATTTGAAACCAGTAGAATGTTCAGTTATAGCTTGTAATTGACAACGGAAGAATCGTGAGAATGGTGAATTTAGCGAGCACAAAAATTGTGAGTTGCATCAACTTCACTACGTCTTCGCTCATTACATAGGTGTTTCACACATGGTATAACACTTATGCCATGCTCTTGATATTACAATATGAGCGAAGAGTGATTACTTGATTTCCACCAGTAGCTAGGTATCTACTTAGTGGAATAGGGAATGTAAATGCAACGGTCGTAAAGTAGCCATTTAGTTCACAAACATTTGAGACGAGAAGATCTAATCGTCGTAATACATTTATTATCCATGCTTCTAGATAGTGGTTCAAGTCGCACCTTCTTGTGTGATTTCCTGTATACTCATTCTAGTCGTGCTTTCCCCTCTCTTTACATCATCTCGTAGAAGATCAAAATAAACAAGGATAAAGACTATATTAAATCCTGTTGTTGTATACTTCATCCATCGTGTAAACTTCGCTCCATCTTTATATTATGGTAAACTTCACGGTATATTCTTAGTATTATGTTTCAAAATCATCACTAAGTGTAAGCTCATTATTCACCTCACATCGATAGCCAATCGTCTTCTCAGTAAGGTATGCTAGTTTTGAATATGCTACATCCAAAAATAGCGCTGATACCAATATAGCTAGAAGACGCATTGTTAACCATCACCTCAACACTCGATAAAATAAAGTCACACATCTAGCCAAAGCAATCCGCCATGTCGAAGGGTCTGGGACATGTCCCGAATCGCCTCGGCTTGAATTATGGAAATAAAGCAAGTAAAGTGAGGAAACCTCCGCCATCACCTATCAAGATGCAAGATAAGACCAAGGGGTTGGATCGACGTCTAAAGGAGCAACACAATCAAGATAGGAAGACTCAAGACAAAGTCAAGGATTTGAAACGGCACTTAGAGGAACAACGCAATCAACATGAGAAGATGCAAAATGAGATCAAGGAGTCGGAACGACGTCTAGAGGAGCAATACAATCAAAATGGGAAGACTCAGGACAAGGTCAAGGATTTTGAACGACGTCTGGAGGAGCAATACAATCAAAATGAGAAGATGCAAAATGAAATCAACTACTTGAGACAGCGTTTAGAGGAACAATACGATCAAATTGAGAAGATTCAAGATAAGACCAAGGACCTGGAACGGCGTTTAGAGGAACAACGCGATCAAAATGAGACGATGCAGGAGACCCGAGATCAGAAGTTGCAGTACTACAATGATCAAATAGAGAAGCTGGATGAGTCGGTCCAGAAATTGATGAGTTGGACATCGCAGTTAAAGGATTCTATTGCGGAAGATATTGAAAGACAGCATCGAGAAAGAGAGGCCCAGGATAAAATGCAGGATGTCCAACATGCGATGCAAAAGATCCTTGCTACTATCATGGAACAGCAGCATAAGCATATATCGGATATGATTGAGTTTCAAACGCAGTTACCGAACATGATTCGAGGAGAATTATCTCTTCAACAAGCATCGAGTTTAGAACCATGGCTTGGCAGAGACCCAGGTTTTGATGCCAAATCCATACGGTATGAATAGGAGGATGCGGAATTTGCCAAAAATACGGAGATGAGGACAAAAGGAGCGATGGAATCAATGGATTTACAAGAAGAGCGATGGGTGGAGCGTAGAGAGATGGAGGAGTAAAACGGTTAATTCTATTTGTGTTGGACGTTGTTCTGAGAAACTCCGAGTAGTGTGAAGAGAGGAAAGTGGTTCTCAGACTTCACTTCATTCTGGGATATAGCTCTCAATAGATTAGATAATGGATAAACAATTAAAATTACAATTCAACCAGCCCTAACCAATTGAAAAGGACTCGCTTCTTCCAAATTCCCTGTGCTGAGCTGCTCATTGCCATGGTTTGATTCCTTGCGAGATATTTTAACCTTGAAAAAACACAGCACACAACATAATCCAATTATCAGGTATGGATAGTAACAACAATTACCAACAAAATGCCGGCGAAGGAGAGAAATCCAAGAGAAAGGATTTGCAGATACAAATAGCAGACTCGCATCCGCAAATCCAATCACTGCTTGCGCAGGTTACATATTGGCGAAACATTTATGTGCGAAAGATGAGATCGGATTTAGTTGGTCAATCTCATAGACAGCAATTTGATCATTTATCAGAAGATCAAGATATGACTATATAATATGATGACGAGGAGCGAGGGAAAGCGAAGCGAGGTTGAGTATCTAACACTCTATACGCGATGAAATGATACGGACTTGAGGTTGCTAGCCTTGCAGTTATACATATATGAGGTCCACTAGTGAGTGCGTAGATTGACGGGACACTTCTCAACTTTCAAGAAAACTGACAAATTCAATCTTCAATTGTTTGATATTAGAATTTATACTTTGATTGTTTCATCCCGAATAAATGATTGTAATAATTCTTAAAATATAAAATTGAATATATTAAGAGATATCTACAAGTCCATTTTTGGAGTGTTCTGTCAGTCCGTACACCCACTGGTGGTCCTAAGAATAGAAATATTTATCAGCTACAGTGATGCACAGGAAACCGACTACCCATACTACTTTATTATTTCGGGTGTGTCAACAGCACAAGTATGGAGCATCATAGATAAAATTCCCTAAATCAAGAGAACTTCCGGGTCTAATCTTAGCGCATATGTACTCGTATTTTATTTAGGGATTGAATTTGGGGAAGATAACTGAGACGCTCCGATGCAGATGTAAATATTGAGAATGAGAATGACTACATAATCGAATTCACACCACACCATAACTCACAGAATGCAAACGATATACTAGAATGCTGCTGAAATGAAGAAGGTGTGCACGATATTTCGGATAAAGAATGTGTTTCCATTTTTAACAATCATCTAATGCTGTGTACACGTATCTTCAACCTATTGCTGTATGAATCTATACTGAACATTGTTCCCGGGCAAATGAAATCTGTGCTGTCCAGCAAGAAAATTGAAGTTCGCTTGAAAAGATGTATAACCCCGTTCCTAACCCTCGATAATTGTCTATCCCTCCTATTGAGACATCTCGCTGTTGCGCAATTTGAGAATGCTTAATTTTGAAAGGATTGTTGATGCTTTTTTTCTCGTAGTCGCTTTGTTCTGAACTGTATGGTTGAGAATTCTCGAGTGCGGATACAAGTAAGTGCATGTAAATATGCCTTGCCATAACTCATCTGATATCGTGCTTCGTTAACAGTCTTGCTACGGGCCTTATAAATTACATCTTCGTAGAATCTTCAATCCCCAACATCGACATTTATTCTGGAGTAGAAGCTCTGCCCGCTCGCATCTCAGTCAGGTAAGAGTCTGAATTATGGCGGCGAGGAAATTTGGGTAGCATCAGTGGAATTCTGAATAGTGTTTGAGTTGGAGTCAGTGGTGTGGGCGGTGTGGGTGGTGATGTGATATCGCTGCTGTTCACGGTACCTAAATCATTGGACGTCTCAGGTTCATCTCCACTTCCCCCCTCCTGTGATGAAGAAGATTGATACGCCGAGTCAGCAGAGTGAGCACGAGTATCATCACGAGGCTTCGAAAACACAGGTGCTGCTGGGTTGAGTGTAGGCCGTGAAGGCGGAGATTGGTTTGGCACCGTGAGCTGCACTAAAGTTTCGAAGTGGTTGCGACCGATATGGGTATTGAAAGGGTTCGAATCTCCCGCTGCATTTTGTGCCGTTCCATTCCCTAACTGCAAAACTCTCTGTAACATGTTGTGAAATATTTTTCGTGCTTGTTCAGTTTGGGGTCGATGTTTTCTTTCTTCTTCGTATGCCGTTTGAAATTCATGATAAGCTCTGGCGGATTCCGCCCGGAGTTGCCAATCTCTTTCTTGCACTGTCCACAGATTTTGCCATGCCATGTGGAGTTCCTTGTAGCTTTCCTGCAATTCTTGACGTTGCTCTTGACGTTGCTCTTGGGCTTGCAAGCATTTTAACTGTGAATCTTGCAATTCGGCTTGACATTTCTCGAGCCAACTTTTCTTGATCTGGAATAAATTCTTCCAATCAGTTTGGGGTGCTGAGCTATGCGACGACCCATTCGAGATGTTCTCATTCGAGAGGTTCCCCTTTGAGCGGTTCACATTCGAAGAGTTCCCGTTTGAGCTGTTCTTGTTGGAGCGGTTACCGTTTGATCGATTGCCATTCGATGACTTCCCATTCGAGAGGTTCCCGGTCGAGCGGTTCCTATTCGAGTGATTTCCGTTCATGATTGTGACTAATAATGGAGTATTGAATGATAGACTATTGAAAGTTGTTGATATCGAAAATATGATATTGTTGATACTGAAAGTTGTTGATATCGAAAAGGTTATGATGTTAAATAAGTCTTTAGAATCCGAAGAGTGCTTCTTAAATAACAAACATTGCTTGGTGCTCTTTCCTTCTTTACTAGGAGAGCAACCCCAAACGTCAGGTGGGACTACCACATTGGGTTTGGAGTTACAAAGATCGGAGTGAGTGCATTATAAGAAATAGAAGGTTTTAACGTCTGTTTTCACCTATGTGGTTAAAACACTAGTTTTGTATATCGTATTGCTTTCAACATCGACAGTTCCTGATTATAGGTAGCAGTCCAAACTATCCGACATCCTACCAGGAACAAAGTATAAGAAAGAAGCACCCACAAATGACAAACAAAAACGACTACAGCGGGTTTATTTAAGATAGCAATCAATTCTTCCTATATCGGTACATCCGATAGTACGGAATATATGTACAAGCAAAATAACCTCAACGCCTTTCCCACCCAATACCGGGTCCGTAGACTCGCCGGTCGATATCCATATCCATACCCAATGCTTATACATATGCAATACCATAACTCCCAAAAATGCTAGATTCCATTTCGAACGCCGGTATGTATGCCCTTGACTATGCCTTCCCTATATGCTATGCCGCCGTATTATGCAATGCTCAAACGCTATGCCTACCGATGTATGTACCGTCATTGATTAATCATATACCCTGTCCTCCAGCCATTAAGCATCACCGTTTCTTTCCTTCCCATTAATTGCAGAGTCATCGGCACTCGTATCAACAGGATCATGTTCTCGAATCGGCTCCGAAGGCTCAATCGCTTCCTCAGATTCCCCATCCGTCGAAATCGAAAATTCCTCCTGAACAGGCGTCATGGCCGCCACTCCGGCCCCAACACCAACCGTTCCCAATCCATCGGCCCCTTCAACATCCCACCAACTTCTATCGCCTCTTCCTCTCTCCATCGCCAAACCATTACCCGCCTGCGCCTCGAATCTCCTCTGCGCCAGCTCCTGATCTCTTCTCTTGTACGCTTGTCGCGCTTCCCTAGCCATTTCATTCCTCGTTTTCCCCGGCCCATGTCCCTGTCTCTCCTTCCGCTTCCCAAAAAAGATAACCCAGAATTTTAGACTCCCGAAAAATGTGCCCTCCGTTCCGGGAATATGTTTCCACGGCTTCTCACGGGTAGAAAATAACCAACAATCCACAGCACCCTGTGCACAAATAAAAATGGTAGTTAATAGATTAATCGCAAATGGCGGATTGACCGCCAATTTATCATTGAATTGTAAGATGTGGGATACAAATGGGACGGTCCACATTCCCAAGTATACCAAGGGGTAAATAAATAGAAATCGAAGTTGTCGACGGATTTTCTCGCGTGTACGTATCATTTCCGATACGGTCAAATCTTGACCACGGGAATTGACAAGATGCATATCGTAAGGATTTCCTTGTTCTGCTGATCCATTTTGTGGTTGAAGGGTAGCGGGGTGTATGTATACGGAAACATTCGAGTCGAGAGACAATCGTCTAGCAATACTTTCTCTCCATGATGTATTTCGAAATTGAGGATGGGGAAGTGGATTGAGTATTTGTTGTGGCGTTAAGAGAGTTGGATTGGTTATCTCGGGTACAATTTGTGGAGTTGATGCTCCAGCGTATGAGTCAGTATCCGGTGCAGAAATCTCTGATGGAGGAGATACGGAATGAGTTCGATTGCGAGAGTGGAATACTGAAGTCCACATGAATTGATGAGCATTGTTCCTCATATTGGCAAGGGAATCCAAAGTCGATGAGGATTGTTTCCTTCTCTCGGGAACATAAGCAGCGGAAGGACGTCTTATTTCAGTCACGGGTCCATTAAGAATTAGAGCTGGAGGAGGTAGACTTCTTCGCACTTGATTGCGTCTGGTCGAATCACAACTATCTTGAGAATGACTGTTCTCAAATCCACGAAACCTAAATCGTACATAGAAATATATGGAAACATAAACAGTGACAATCGTGATGAAAATAATGTATCGAGGGATCCAACTTAAAGCCAATCGATACCAAAAAGGTCGTACTGGTAGATAACAATATGTTCCTTGAGCAACATAAGCTTCCTGATCATTAACAAAAGCCAGAGATGCCGTTAAAAGTGGAAAGACTATCCAAACGGTGTAAGCTATCCTACGATATGGATAGAGACCCCCTTCGCCAGACGAGGATTTAGGTCTGAAAATATATAATGCAGTATGTACAGCAACCATAAGAACCGAAACATCTATACGCAAATTAACAAGTGTTGATACACATATAGAATGGTATCTCAAACCTGACGCTTCAACTCCTAAAGCTAGAAAAAATCCACTTATTTGACAAAATTTGGAATCATCTGCTACAGGACCATGTAAAAAGATAACGATTGGAAAAACCATAAACCATAAAGCTTTAAACATATCACTTTGGATTAACAACATGATGAGACTAATCGGTTATCAGTACAGGGACATAAAAATGGAGGTGGAGGGGTAAATGGGGTAAAAGCTCACTCATGTCTGAACGAACGTCTCATTCTAACAAACCAATAAAAAGCTAGAATCGAAGAAGCAACACTAGCAGTTGCAAATGTCAATGCAAGTTTTTGCAAAATCAATCCTTCGGATATCGATACATCTTGACCTTCATTCGTTTTATCTCCAATATCTCTCGAGGAAAATTGAAGCACCGTTCGTGCTATGTGTGTTGGGAGGGGTGCCATGGAGAATATGGCATCTGAGTCTTTTCCGTCTCGAAATGAGGGGGAGGATGGAGGGGAATTTCGTTATATGTTATGGATCGGGCTTTTCCTTCCAACTTCTAAATTCCTCCAACATGATCACCAATGTTATTTTACACCATTCTCGTGCTATCTCCTATGCTTTCGAGGTTGCTGTATATTGTATGGTGTGTGTAGCACGAAAGCTTGTTGGTTGTACGGTAGCGTTGACGTCAAAACTAATAGTGCCTAGTTCTTCGTAGATTTTCTTTTATGATGTGCCGGACCGAAAAACTCAAGATCTAAATTCCGAGACTTGTGAATCTATTGTAGTACTTTCTCTGAATGATATAAGTTTTCTTCTTCAAATTTATTAATCGGCGGTACGCGTAGTGGGGATCTGAATGCCTACTTGAAAGGCTGGTCGGAAAGGTGGGCGAAAGAAGCGGTAAAAGGTTCCCTCGAGTTGGAAGTATGCGTACGGAGTTATATTCCCCTATTATAGGAAAGTATTTGGTATTTTTTGGGGAAAAGAAAAGTGTAATAGATCGTAAGAGGACCAAACACGTCAAATTGTGAAGTATGTATAATAATAATAATTGCATGTACTAGATTACCTACAGATAATTGATATTGAAACCTTGTTCCCGTTTCGAGCTGTGGAATTATTGTTGGATTTTTCTTTTCCTTCTTTCTCATTTCGTAGACGCTGTAGATCATTCGAATCCAGCACGAGAGCAGACCGACGCCAACCTACCGGTTGATGGGACACCTGACTTATTTACAAAACTGTGTGATTCAAGACGACCTTCCTCAGGGCCAATATTCAGAAACATTAAGATGAAGCGGGTATTTCAGAACTTTGGGAACCAATTCATTTGAAAAAAAAAATGAAAAATGTGAAAGCTATATGTAGATCGTTTAATATTAGTAGTTCACTAGTTATAGTATTGTAATATGTCGGATCTTCTTGAGTTAGTCGAGTACCCTCACCACTGCCTCTACTTACTCTGTGTGGCAAGCCAAGCCAAGCAATGAAAAAAGCATGGGCGGGATCTCTCTGCTCTGAGTCTCTGTACGTGATTGATCCAGGTATTTTGAGACCGAATAAGTGATCAATCTGAATCTTCCCTTTTCATTCTATGGTGGTCTGAGTGAGTGAGTGAGTCTACCCATCGCTTCCTCTACCTGATATCTAATAAGCCTTGCTTCCAACATGCATAAAATATTCACGATGACGACTGGGCTAAATATCGAGTACGGTCTTATTATCGCCAAATCCATAAAAAAATCTCGATTCTAGGTCGATGCTCTTCTTCAAAATGGATATGGTAGGGGTTGTGTGGTTCCGCTACAAAGGTTCAAAGTTTACAGCCACCCATTTACTTTACCGAATTTTTCCCTGGGGCTGCACTGTTCATGAAGGGGTTGGAGTGATGGGTTTTTTATATATCTCCGATTCCAGGGTCGGATTGGATGGAACTCATTGGACCAAAAGGAAGATAGTCCAAAGCCCTGGGGTATCACAAGAGTCCACAATCACGAATTAACAAAATAAGCTTCGATAGTTGGGTATAGTTATATATCTAATTTACCTTAATCAGCTAAATGGGAAAGAAAGATGATCGGAATCATCGGATACATAGATCCCAGATTATTATTAAGTCATTTGATATTCCTTCATCACAAGTGAAGATACAAAGATCAGCATATTTCCCAAATGTTCATCATTCGCCCACCACCACAGCACAAGTCCATTAGCCGGTAGATACCCAAGTGTTTTGATTTTCACGTTCATGTCCATGTGGTCATGACATGAGAGAGAAAATCCTGCAAAACCTCTTCTTCTTGCGCATTACATCCGCAACCTCCGTTCACCGACAATGCTACCAATTCTCTTCCCCGCCAGCCTAATAAAGTGGGCAAGTTCGTATGAAAGGGAAAACAGTTTGTCGTGAAAAACAACGCAACATCTGACCTTGACCGATTTTATGCGGTTCAAATTGTTTTAATGCATGACAACCCCGCATCGATTTTTTCGTACCCTTGAACGTCGCAGAGACGATCCTGAGGAGCTTAATTGGGATTGTGTACTCGGTCACGTGATTGAGACCTCTTCACCGAGCGGTTGCAATGTCCCAAATCTAGCAACCTCTGCAGGAATTCTTTAGGCTTTGAGATGATTTGTCTCACACACAAGTGTGTATGACTCGTCATTACTTCTTATCTTGCATGTATCAAGACGTCTTGACTCTCAGATGGACGTAATTCGTGTGCTCTGCCAAATTGATTGTAAGTATATGGGACCTCCATCAAACTGCTGCTGAATCGTGATGATTGTGGCGATCCAGGTTCTTCGGTGACAAAAGTACTTGAACTTGAGCGGTCACTTCGATATGTTCTATCCGATTGCTGGGTTAAACGAGCGGATCCGCATTTTAAGTATGAGCCAATACTCAGGCTTGCTTCGTCAAATTCCATATCTCGAGTATCATAAGTTTGATAAGACTGATGATGGTATGATGATGGATTTGATGATCTTTGTAGTGATGATCGCCGATTTGATGATTGAGAACTCAGATATGATAGCGGAAGCATTTGTCTGGATTTCCTCATATAATCAGGAATCTCCGTTTCTTCAGCCATTGGATCTGACATGTCGCCAATGTTGAAAGATTCTTCAGGTCGTTTGAGCTCGTTTTGAGATGGATACATTCTGACCTTGGAAGGGTTGTGGGCCGATGATTTGTATAGACTTGCGTCCGAAGGTTGATTGCTATGCCCGAATAGAGACGGAAGAAATGTGGAGAAGAATGGCTTCGTAGCTGGGAGTGCGGTGCATATCTAGAGTAGTCGGGGTTAATATCACAGATTCTTGACGTGAGACAACGACAGGTAACTGAGGGAATCTTACTATCCCTATGTATAAATTCAATACACTAGATATCCATAATGGATATGAGAACCAAGTTCTATCATATGATGAGTATGTAACGTGTATATACCATATCCTAACAACACCCGAAGCACAGACGACCAATCCAGCAGCGAAGAGGAGGAAAAGCATCAGTTGTTGACGAAAGGGTATGGGAAGGCTAAACACGGTAGGTATAGGTAAGAAGAAGACAAAGAAATCGGAGCAAGTATTAATGATTGCGCTTGAAAGTAAATGTGTTTGTTCATCGATGCAATTTTGAGGCGAGTAAGATAATTTCCAGTAATCCGAAATGGGACTATTGTATATGATCAGCAATTTTTCAATCCTACAGCAAATCTGATCATCATACCTGCAATTGTTGATAATAACCACATCAAAAGCAACTGCTTCACATGCCACCAACACAATCATAGCAATAGCTAAATATTTAAGTAAACCAGTTCCCCTGGACATGACCCGCATCACCAAGATGAGCAAAGATATTTTCGTTAATGCAACAGCAATTCCGAACAAACACTCTAGCAGTAAAGATATTTTGAGTCCAAACTCGGTATCATCTTGTGCAACATCCCAAATATGGCGATTCCATTTCCAACGTTCCTGGGCGATAAGTGCAATGACAGCGCAGACTGTAGTCGGGACGAGAGCGATTAGAAGAAATACATCATCAATACCGAAATGTTTGGATAGATAGATCCGTGTAAAGGTTCGTAAACCAACCACAATATATACAATAGGAAGAAAAACGGCGGTTATTATGAGAAGTAAGGGTCCTCTAGTCACTGGGTCGACATAGTTCGGTTCTGGAAAGGTTGACAGAACTTGAGGTGGAGGGATTTGCATGTTGAAAAATCGTTGAGTATTGAGCCAGCAATGCAATGATTTCAATTCCACCTACTGGGCGAGAGAAAAGGGAAACACTCTACCTTAATATTAGAATAGTTCGCATTATAGCTTGGACCTGGTCTCCATACGCGAAAGTTGTTTTTATCAGACTACTCGCTTGATAAAATGGAATCATTGACTATAAAGTCGTCCATAAATGTGGCTGCCAATGGTGGGATGAAACTAATTTTATCTACTGGTACAGACTGTACGAACGCTCAGATGTTCTTCGGAATACTAAACTCACCGAGAGATAGATTGCAGGCACGTATGGGTGCTCGGACGGTTCCCGTGAAGAGTTCCAACAGAAACAGAAAACGATCTCGAGTCCGAGAAACTAAATGTGGTACGATATAGATTTTTATTTGGAGTTCATTCAACGGAAGATATTTGACTTTCTCGTAAGGGGAGGGCTGATCAAGGGACGGTCACCAGACTACAGATTGACACCTTCCAGCGAGTGACTACTTGAACTGCCACTGCAAGCCCTAGAAATGACAAGCTTTTGTCATTTTCAAAGTATAAGATTGTGGCAAAGAAGCAAAGAAACAAAGAGTATGATTGATGGGGAAATTCGAGTGGAATTACAATGCGAACATGCTGTCTGTGCATCCTTAGTAAGCGAAACAAATGAACAACCTCAATAAGTGTATTACTCCTACATTTGCTTCAACTTCCATGGCATCTTGGTCAAATGGTCAAAGTATAACGATCTAAACTCGCTCTGTACCCTTTTCAGTTTCAGACTCACTAGCGAGGCACCATGACACAAATGATTAGGATCCATCATACCATGAGCTTATGCACAGCATACTGGGCATCATTGAGCGGCTGCAACTTCGCCGATTCTACACTCCAACATGAACAACCTCGGAAGTCCTTATAACCAAAGAGCACCTCGTAGTACGCGGAGTATGACCCAAAGGTAGTATGGTGCTGTACAAACGCAGAGAGCTGATCGTCGAAGGCAAACCTCTGCCGGATTCCTGGGATTTGTCCGACGAATCACATGATAACTGTGCACACATCACTCGATGCTTTACACTGATCGCCGCTTCTCAGATAGCGGCTCGATGGTCTTCCGATGCCAGTAAAACTCTCTTCAATGTGATACTTGATAAACAGTCTTCCAAACACTGGGCTAAGTAAAGTTTGGAGACGCTGTTCATGTCACATGATCATGTCTCGACCTCGGAACTTAAGGCTCAATCAAGCCTTGGGAGTGTGTTGTGAAGTGTTAAGATTCACACAATGGTTTTGTCGTAATGAGAGAGGCTTCAATGGTCGAGTATCGGTTCGTTGAAAAATATGTTCAAAGCGTTCAGGGCATCTCCCAGAGCAGAAAATGAAAAGCTATAATCACAGATGGTTCTGAAGCATATCAAGATGTCAAGTGAGTGAGTATAAATCACTAAGAAACAAGCTTTCAATATGATACAAAGACAGAGACGATTTAATTCGGTTCATAAAATGATAAGTTTGTGGTTTATAAGTTTATTGGGAGAAATAAAGTGTTGACGGCAAGAGATACAAATAAATACTACAAGTGCACTAGTGGCTGTCACTTCATTCTAACTTTACTTCATTCTGACTTTACTTCATTCTGACTTCACTTCACTTCACATTTCATTTATCCCCTCAAATAAGCAAAACCGATAGCCAATAGAACAATCTAAACTCATCAACCCTAAATCCCAAACAGTGACCACTTGTCTTCGTCTTTGTGAAGCGCACTTGGAACTTTGAATATGATTTTTTGTGGCCAAAATCCCTGATCCTCTAAATTCTCATCACAGCATCCAAATAGCGACAAACTTACATGCCACACATCACGAAATAAGAAAGAAAACCCCAAATCGTTGATGCAAGTCAATCCCACGCTCTACGAAAACATACCCAAGAAGCTTGAGGAAAGCTTCCCCATGACACCAAGAAAGAATGTTGCATGGCTCAATAATGAGCTCAATCTAGAGAAGCCAACGATCCCCCCCCCCCCAAAAGAAAACAATGAGGCGTACAACGAAGACAATACATCCACAACACCATTCTAATTTCTTAACAACAAAAACTCTAGAGATACAACCCCAAAACATCCCCCGAACCGATAGGCTTTACCAAACCCGACATTCCCTGTAACCAACCACATACCATCCTTACATTCAACCGATATCACGGGCCGAGACCCCGTTCCTCGAGTTTTGATATAACTTGGAGGGATATCTGTGAACCAATCGGATAATATTCTTAGAGTGTATATACGAATAATGCAGATTTTTCAAGGGAAACGCAGGAAAAATTATATGATCGTCGAGTCGAAGTGACCCGATCTTTCAGATATAGGGATACAGCAAGGTTTTAGGCTGCAGTGAAGGTTATTCAAGGGAGATAAGAAGCTTGTCATATTGTCGAGATAACAAGTCGCTCTTGCAATACCTCAAGAAGGTACCTTAGCTTTAGCAAGACTATCGAACGTGAAAATAAGCGAAAAATTAACGATACAGATTGTTCATTTCTATGCCGTACTGAGGAAAATTAGATCTTGATTTGCAGGTGAATCCTGATCCAAAAGATGCAATGTTGGAATACTTGCAGGTGAACCCCGATCCACAGGATGAAATCTTGTTACATAACAAGAGGAAATCATATCTACAGGACGGATATTCCTTAGTTGGGTATGATCCCCACCAATTCATATATAATAACGCTCCATGTTATGTAACATAACTCCTATCAACTATATTGCTTCTCCTCTGTCAGCATAAGGATGTGGACAATATGTTCAATCTACCATCCATGCCTCCCCACTCCTACCCCCACAACCCTAACCTCGACTCCGACATCTTTTCCAATCTCCTCCAATCTAATTCTATCAACAACACCCCTTCCATCAAATATCCATCTTGGTGCTGTCATCCCCTTAACTACTCTTTTCCATTCAATGTCCTGCTCTCCTTTTACATTTATCTTTTTCCCATACTCGCATTTCGCGCAACCCTCTTTACAGGGTGGCTCGGGATATAGTCTTCCTAGTGGATCATCTACATCTACCTCTTCACAAGACTGCGATGATAGATATCTTCTTAGCTCTAACAAATCCATTTCCGAAGGAAATCCGAAACATGGTCTCGGATCAGCCAATTCCTCACTTTTCCCCTTTGTAGAATTTTTCAGCTCTCTGCAGATAAGAAGCGCGTCTGCCCTTTCACAAGCAATATAAAGATCGACCTCTACCCTCACATTTGCCATGCTCTTTACCTCTTCCCTCAACACATCCCCATCACACCCATCATCCCAAACCACAATTTCCCCCGGTTTCTCCTCACCCAACATTTCAATTACTTCCCTGGCCAAACTCTCCCTCAAATCCCCAGTTCCCTGCTTAAAAGTATACCCCAACACCACTATCTTCTTTCCCCTCAACCCACCACCCATCTTCTTTACAATCCTCTCAACCCATCTCCTTCTCTGCCACTCATTAACCACTAATACACTCTCCCAATAAGCCACCACTTCGTCCAGTCCCAATCCCTCAGCCAAATAAATCAAAGATTTAATATCCTTCCCAAAACAACTGCCTCCGAATCCAATCCCCGCTTTCAAATATTTACCCCCAATCCGAGAATCAAGACCTACAGCTAACGATACTTCATCAATATCCGCATCGATAGCTTCGCAAATCGCGGAAATACTATTGATGGAACTTATTCGCTGGGCTAACATGGCGTTGGAAACAAGTTTCGATAGTTCGGAAGAGGCAGTGGTGGTATGGATCAGTTTTTGGGAAGGAATCCAGTGGTAGAGGGAAGCGAGGGAGTGGGCGGCAAGGGTGGAGATGTGAGAGGAAGAGGAACCAATGAGAATACGATCTGGATGTAAGAGATCTTGAACAGCGGAGCCTGCGGAGAGGAATTCGGGAGATGAGAGAATTGGGAAGATTTCATTAGGACGGTGAATTGCCAGCTGGGGCTTGTTAGTTGCTTTTCCTATATTATGAGAGTGAGGAATGATATACAATGTCTTTGATAAATTCGCCAGTTCGACTAGGCACGGTGCTTTTCTCTACGATTATAGCTCCAGATTTCGCATGTTTTCCAATATCTTGCACAACCGATTCTACAGCCGTCATATCTGTTGCTTTTCCGGAACCTATTCCATAAGTCTTTGTGGGTGTATTGACTGCGATCATTATTATATCTGCTTCGCCCAGACATTTCTCGACATTGTCAGAGAAGAATAGATTTGGTGAGCGTACTGGAATGTGAATAGAATCAGTATGTTCAGAGAAATCTTCAGAAGATGATTCAGAATTTTCAGGCGACGGATCATTGGAAATAGAGAAGGCTCTCGATCCATCACGACATATACGTATAATCTCTGGTAGATTCGGTTCGTGGATTGGTAAGTGTTTTGAATTCCATTGATTGATGCGATAAGTATTTTTATCGACAATTGTGAAATTTATTTGTGGATTTTGAAGCGCCAGGATAGCTGCTGTTGGACCACCTAAAATACAGATGTCAATACAATTCCTCTTCAGGATGATCTAGGAATGCAGGTAGAAAGTTCACATACCAACATATCCCGCACCTACACAACATACATTTTGTACAAGACGATGCGTCGAGTTTTCACTTCTAAGAGAATTTTCAAATGCGATTCCGTCATCTAAACTCAAAGCTTGTAATATGGGACTGAAAGTAAGACTTCCATCAGGTGTCGTGGGCGCGGTTGATATATCGTGGGTAATCTCGTCTGTATCTAGTGGTGTCGAATCCTTGAGTGGCATATTTGAAGAGTTATGTCTTCTTTGAAATATGGAAAATATCTAGGAAGCGTATATACTATTTGAAAAAGCTTGAGAAGACTGAAGATTGAGATCTGAAGTGCTAAGTTAGGACCGCATAAATTGAAGGAAAGAACAGAAATTGTGGTGTTGCTTGGATGTATAGTAAAGAAGAATGATGAGGATAAAAGTATGGGAAGAATAGAGATTGAGAGTATAGACTAGGAAGGAACATATGACAAAAGCAGAAGGCACACTTCCACAACTGGAAATAGTTACCCTCCGTCATATTCTCAGAGATATCATCATGAACATAATGATAAGACTTCCCAAAATTCAAATCACTCATCACCAGGACACAATCGCGAAGAAATCCTAAGATGCTCGACAAAAAGCGATAGCCAACAAATTCTTACACGTTGACAGCAATACTGGTTCATGACTCATCTCGAGACAAACAAGAACGTTGGTAGCACATGTTTTCCCTGAAACTGATTGTCCTCTGATAAGACATTTGATAACTGTATGTTGTCTAGAAGGTGTAACGAACAATGGAACTATTAATTGGTTTCCGAAAATCAGGACCAGGAATTCCCCCACGTGGAGCTATGGTCTTACCTATCATTGGTCGAGTGAGGTTGCACAAACAAACATCCAATAAGACAAAGCTTGGGCACAGCATGGGGGTAAGGATTCACGAAGTGAATAATTAGAATACACTGAGTAGAATGTAGTGAACAGTTGACGGCGGAGGGCAGATAATGGGAATCGTGATATAACAACCTAGGCGCTTGCCTGAAAAGTCTAACCCAGTGGACGACCTTATCAATTTCTTGGTTGGGCACCACTAAAGATATTCTTTCTTTAACATGATAATTAAGTCGATGCTCCTTCATTGGCCACAAAATCTTTGGCATATAATTTCAACACGTTGAATAAATGGATTTGAGAATGAAGCTATCCACAGGTTGTCCATTTCAAAATACATCACCGAAATTCCCAGCCACTCTAAAAGGAAAACATATCCTCCTCGCCACAGAATCATTTGGTCCTGTAAATGGTGTGAGTAGAACGACTTTAAACTTGGTGGAATATCTTCGCAGGAATGGCGTATCTGTCGCAGTTGTCGCGCCTCACAACTCAACCGGAGCAGGTCCGATTGCTCCCACAACACACGATACCAATCATTTAGAAGTGAGATTGAAAGGATATCCATTACCTTACAATCCCGAACTTTCAGTTGTTTATCCTGTACGTCTGTCGCAACTATATGCTAGGACCTTTGGAACAAAACCAGATCTGCTATACCTTGCAAGCCCTGCATCTCTGGGATTTCAGATCTTGTTACAGTTGAGACAGCAGCAGAGAAAAGAACAAGTTCCTGTGCTCCTCAATTTTCAGACAGATTTATCAGGCTATTGCGAGATATTATTTCCAACGCCTTTAAATAGATGGGCAGTTTGGGTGTTTGGAAGTGTACAAAGATATCTTTTCCGATGGGAGGGCGTAAAGACAATATTTTATCCAAGTGCGTCTGTGAAAAGATATCTAGTCAAGGCAGGAGTACCGGTGGAAAAGATGATGAATTTGAGAAGAGGGGTTGATGGTTCTATGTTTCATCCCTCGAGACGATTAGAGAAATATAGAAAGGATTGGGCTCCGAATGGCGAGCTAATCATGATCTGTGTAGCTAGACTTGCACCAGAAAAGGGGTTTGAATTTTTGAGTGAGGTAGCAGACGAGTTGGTTAAGAGAAATTTCCCTTTTAAGCTCATTATAGTTGGAGGCAATCAGAGCCAAAGGGTTGAAAACGAAATAAAAGATTTGTTTGCAGACCTGGCGACGAAGAAAAAAGTCATCTTCACCGGGATGCTAAGAAGCGAAGCACTAGCCTCAGCTTATGCTTCTGCGGATATATTTTTGCATTGTTCAATTACTGAGACTTTCGGTCTGGTAGTTCTAGAGTCAATGGCAAGTGGTGTACCAGTCATCGCAAGAGATGAAGGAGGGTAAGTTAGGCCCTTTTATGGATTTGGGAGAAGCTGACTATTGACAGCCCATCAGACATTGTTGCAGAGAATAGATCAGGATATTTGGTGGCTCCATCAAACCTTGAAGGATTTGTTGAGAAAGTTCTCAAACTTGGCAACGATCTTAAATTGAGATCAGCCATGAGTATTGAGAGTCGAAGAATGGCGGAAGAAGCAACATGGGATAGTATCGGTAATCGTGTGGCATGGAAGATGGCCGAAACATTGGAAACAATCAAATCGACAGATAAAATCTCCAATGATAGAATGCCGCTGTATAGTTTGTGGATGATCACTGATGAACTGAGAAATCTGTTGACATCATTCATCGTGGATGCAAGGCTTCTTGCGGGACTTGGAATGATATGTGGAGCTTGGTTAGGGTTGATTGTAACGTGGATATTAGTCCGAATATTGCTTCGATTGAGGACGAATCTAGATAGATTTCTCAAGTTCTAGAATGGAGCCGAAATATGTGGTTAATGTAAAGTCAACATTTCATGCCACATGTAATTCGATCATCTACCCCAGAATTCTCATAACGAGCGAGGATGGATGCCTAAGAGTTAAGCATCTATATGTTCATGCTAAAGCTCATGTGTTAATGCTTACATGATGTTCATGATCATAGCAAAGAATGTGTTGAATGACAATAAAACCCCAGTGTGTGTGATTAGTTTGATCGACGCGGGCCAGCAGAGATAGGATACACAAAGTTGCTAGACTAACAGTGACGCAAGAGCAGATCAATGCAGTAAGAGTATTGCTAATCCTAGAGGATTGTTCACGTCCTTACTAAAGCATTTTTTCAGGCAAAGCATCGCGAGCGCTGCCTTTGTGATGCGCTTCGGAGGCAATCTTTTCGATATCAATAGAGATTGTTTATGCTGTGACGCAGATAAATCCTACGATCAATGCATGCGATGAAAGCAAGAAGGGAATTTGATAAACCCTTCAAGTATCCTCTCATCTGGCGAAAAGATTGATGGAAAAATCTGTTCTCCAGGTAATTAATATCAGAATCAATGTGAGAATTTGTTGGTCAAAGAAGACAGCCTGCACCGCACCATGTCAGGCGGTGAGTATGCAGAAGGAATGCGCGCATCAAATGAAAATATGTTCGACTTGATTAAAATAGAGTTAAGACAGAAACATGGTACGAAGCCTGCTCGGAGGCCCGTATTCATGTGCCGTGAACTAAAATGCTCCTTCTTACTTTGATCTTGGCTGGTGCTCATATACTTGTGTAAATTTAGCTCTGCGATACAAACGGCCTGCTATTGACCCACTTCGGAGGCTGAGTGTTAAAAATGGTAGCAAATGTCATGCGACGGAAAAGAAATCTCCACAAGCTGACTTGCGTCGGCGATGAACCGAGCGACGAACAAAGTTTCAAGGTGTAACGGTAAAAAGCGACGCTGCAGTAGGAACACGTCAGTAGGATGACTTCAAATTGTACAGGGTACTGCCGAGTCCTGACACGTGAATTAGAAGATAGGTACTCGTATCCTCTGCTCTCATTGACCGTAGACTTTTATCGAATTTTACAAATGATATATTTGCCGACTCCTTGAGTCTTGGCCGATTGACTCGGGCTCAGAAAATGACATTGAATGGTGGCAAAGTGTGGCCTACCCAAAAATGAATACGAACATAGTAAAGCATGGTTAAAATACAGAGAGGCCGCTATGTCTTATACCATGCTATTATCGAATTAGAATTGAGGCTCGTCGATGTCAGATGAGAGACGTGTTGATCCGGAACGATTGGCGCAGCAGATCTCATATTGATCTAACCAACAGTTGAACGATCTCACACAGGGCGCTTAGAGGAAAATTCACGACCTCTCATTTGTTTGCTGCCGCAAGAAATATCTTCAACGAATTTCAATTGAAGAATCCTCAGCCAGTCTTTGGAAACTGGTGTGAGTACACTAATACACCCACATATGTGCGTGCAAGGCGGGAAGACTTGACATCCATCAAAACCATGTTGAGGAATTCGTGTCGTATCCTCCCGCCGTAGAGTAAAATTATGAGGATGTCAGATGATCATTCAAGAAAGTGGGATCATAGAATCCTACCACTTCACTGGTTCATTAGGATTGAAGTTTGGCGGAGATGGGAAAAATTATATGAGGTTATTCACGTTTCGTTGGTTGTCGACGTGAGCTTATTATCATTGACACCGTGAACGATCGTGAAAGGGTCTGTGAAACTTCGGCCAAGTTGAAAATCCGGAGGTAGCAGATATTTATTACTTGATTTGGCTAGACCTGTGAAAGCTCTGTCAGCTTCTAACCGATCAGGTTTAGTTGATTTTATTTCATGCCAAGTTTGATGAGACTCGGGAAGCTTCACACCTCATTTTCCCAGACAAGACTCAGTCTCAACAACTCATTTTGAAAACGCTGGAGCCTTCTTCAATCCAAAGGACATAGCTGAGGTTTGATTGATCGATCATTGTACCTATAACGGTCCTGCGATGCCAAATCCTACCTTGGTAGAACATCCTTTTTGGTGTCGTGGATCATATCTCTCCTGCCCCAGATTAATACTCTGGATGCTTCATTACTCTAAGCGCTCTATCAACGGTATGTATGTATTGACAAGCGTCATCTGTGCCGCCATTATCTGACAAGTCGTGACCTCCTTGTGTCGATCACATTCATACATGAAAAGTCTCCCAATCAACATCATCTGTGATAAGCTTGACCGCGCATCATACGATGGTCTCACTGTCTCAAAATTGCCATAGGACTGACCCTAAGACGTCTCGCACATGCTACACCCCTCTATAAGTAGAAATGCTAGTAGTTCTGATTATGGAACTATCTCTCAGCAGACAGGGCTAAAGTTAACCCCCCAAACCAAGAACCGTCAAGTCCGACACAATTTGTCTGGAGTTGCTTACATGCTTATCCCCATCTTGTATCGACGAGTTGAGATCACCCCCTGGTATGAGCTTCATATCGTTGTTTTTGCCTCCGAATGTCTACGACTTTCTGTTACGGGATTCGTGTTTTTCCATGCTAAGACTGTCTAGCATTTTCATGTGGCATGGCACCTTTAGACTATTCCTATTCTTCTTGTTCCTTTCTTCTTTCTCATATTCATAATATTCTTCTTGGGTTGGCAAATTAAACAATATCATCGCCACTTCTCCCACTTCAATTCTTGGGCAGGCCCATTTCCTCTTTATACCTTCTTTTCATTTTAAAATTGTTTTCTACCTCTTGCTTGAAGCAGGAAATTGTTTGCATTTTTCTTCTCCGCCGGTCGGGTCATTCAGATCAAATTTTACTAATCTTTCAACCATACCTTGGGTTTTTCTCACTCGCCGGTCTCGACCTTTTTAATCAACACCGCCCATTATGTTTTGGCACGCAGCCGTAACGGCGTCACTGCTACTTGCCGGTCATGTTAGCGCAGGAATTATGGATATGAAGCCAGTGGTTCGTCGAGATAATCAGGAGGAGATGTTAAGACGATATATGGATAATATTATTGAAGATCGCCGAAGATCTATCACGGATGCACCGGCGACCACAGCAGCTACGAACATCTCGGACTGGAATACTCAAACTGAGGCAGCATGCACTCAAGCTCTTGATTTATTGAATGGAAAAGCTACCAATCCATCTGGTTTGGCAGCTTGTTATAACTTACCATATGCCGACAACAGTACTGGAGTTTTCAAGGCCGATCTCCGAATTTATAATGTTTCTGCTCCCACAGGAACATTTGCCAATATTCCAAGTCAGGATGTTCAGGTTGGATTGAGTTACGAAGGAGCTACAGTATCGGCTGTTAATATGTCGACGTTGATGGCCAGAAGCGATGGTACATCTATAATCTCGTGGCCACGAGCAAATTCAAAGCGACAATCAATAACAAACACCACCACGGGAAGGACCATAACTTTAGTTCAATCATATGCTTTTGTTGGCCAAATGAATAAGGAATATATTGGCATGGATATGGACAGGTATGTTGAATTCCATGAATTAAAAGAATTACAATCTAATTTGTTTAGCTCAACCATGGAAGCACTATTAACTCCAACGGTGACTTTGACTGGCAGAGATGTCTCCGGTGGAACCGTGAACACAACTCTTAATACCAACCAAGCATCTTTCGTTAATGGTGAATTCTCTACACAAGCCGCCGGAGTTACTAAGACTGTCCTTCAACCACCTATTCAAACTCTCGTCGTCGCCTCTGAATCTCCTTTCGTGGTTCCAGGTCTTAATATTCTGATTTTCCCTATCGGTGGTGTCATCACAGGTGTATGGGCAATTCTATTCATTGGTACACTTTCCTACGGTACCATTGGTAGAATACAATTCAGGGACCAATTTAGATCAAGAACCGCTAGAGCCCAAAAAGAAAATATGTCACGAATTTAAAGAGGCTTGGGATCATCAAAAGGTTTATGGGAGGTGTACAAGATTTATTTTCTGAGAAGGGGAACTATACCATTTATAGAATTTTTGCGCGGGTAATCGAGAAGGGTGGCGTTGGAATGGAAGGACGGCATGTTGAGGGATGGGAATGAGTATGACAGGCCCAGGGTAATCAGCCCGGAGCTCGAGTTGATGGAGCAAAGATTTTTTTCTGGAGCTTGCTGATTGATTCCCCCTCCCCCGGGCTACAAATTCACAAGCTACAATATCATTATTATTTCTTTCTTTCTTCCTATTTGTGGTTAAAATGAAGACTAGCAACATTACAATCACGAGACACGATCATTACCTCAGTTTAGAATGTATAATACGAATCAAAATAATGCAAAATTGAGTTCGTTTGATTTTTATATATACCTCTAAAGCTCGATAGACAATCAAGCTTTACATTTGAAAACTTATAGCAAACCTCAAAAATTCAAAGACGTCGTGATAACAACTACGCCCTTGGCGAACAGCCTTACAATTTCACTTCTTACTCAAGCTCATGAACCGCATTCCTCCTGCAATCCTCCCGCTGAAAATATACGCGAGATTCGGTATTTGCATATTAAAAGTTCATACCACCACGCATTGTCCGTTTCTTTACTTTACCTTCCGACGCTGATCCTGAATTTCAAGTACCGAGATAGATGCCTTACGTACACACATTTGGAGAATGGGATTGGTTACAGAAAAGCAGAATCTGGAGCTTGAAGTTTCAGATGCGCGACGTGTAGGAGATCCGAGCGAGGATGGTGACTCCTGTGTTTAAGATTGAGTTTGAGGGGACCTGAGCGAGTCGCTGGTGGGGTTTGGCGGCTTTAGATATTGGTAGCGATACTGGAAAGGGTTTAAATAAGGGATCAGTTCGTGTGGTTTGAAGAGAGATAAAACGAATACAGATTGAACTGGCCTTGAAAAGGAAAGGAAGGAATTGTGCCATGCACTCGCTCAGACGGTAATAAGGGTCAAGCACATGCGCGAGTAAGTTTAGAGTCAGGTGACCATCACGCTCGGACGTTGTTGATAGCGTGAGTTCGAAGAAGGATTTGGAAGCACGACGGCAATCCACGATATCTCCAATGTCAAATTCTATATTGCTTAGAGTTATTCGATTGCCGGCGGCCTCTAAGGTCGATGATATATCGAAAGAGTGACAACATGCTCAACCAGGAAACATCCCGAATCCTGAACGTCCATCGGCTGCGCCGATGTTGAACAACCCTCGAGCACTAGGGGCTACCCTAGGTGTAAATATATTGTCTGAGCGAGCATGAGCGATCAAAGCATGAAGTACGAAACAACGCATCTCATGCTTATGTTCATACTAAGAATCCCATTCGATGAAGACAAGTATCCATTGTGATGGTGTTTAGTGAAACTAGCATAATCCTTTCCATCTTTACTCTAACAACCTTTTCGTAAGAAACGAAAAGCGTCATTTCTGAGTTGTCCTTTTGAATTCGTTTCCTGTTTTTGTTTTCTAGAAACTCCAACAGCGACTGGATCGCATTGAATCGCTGGAATTAATTCTTTGTGATTGGATTGCTAGTGGTATCATACATTCGTTTCTATATCCATAAATTTCATCCGAACTTCTTGAAATTCCCGTTTGTTCCACAGGACATTGTCTCAGCTGAGAAGTTCATCTTTACGTACCTACTTATACTATACTGCAAGTTCGAGAACGATCACTCAATTAAAAAGGAAAATGGTTTCTGTGGCAGAGTTAGTAACGAAATTGCATTCCAATATTGATGAAATTCACAAGACTATCGCTTTAATCAGCGACACCTCGAATCATGATGCGGAAATTACACTATTAGAAAGAGATCGCGATGAGCAGCTTCAGCAATTGAAGATGGCTCATGAGAATGCGATGAAAGAAGGAGAGGAAGCACAACTCAAACAGGAACAAGAGATCATGGAACAAATCAAGAGAGAAGAAGAGGAGATAATAGAGAGGAGGAAACGTGAAGATGAGGAGAGAAAATTGAGAATCGACAATGAAGTAAGGGAGAGAGAAAAGGTAAGGCAGGAGGAAGTAGAGAAGAGGGAGGCCGAATTCCAAAGTCAACATAAAGAACTTGAAGATGGAATCGATGAAAAAATGGAGAGATTGGAGGATGAGTTAGAGCAACAAATGATAGATGGGCAGAAAGCTTTGGAAACTTTAGATTCCGCGAGAAGGGTATGTTTGTATTCTATATCAAATTTACCTGGTGATTCTCGATTTACTAAAACTCTCTCGAAAACAGGAAATTAATAGACAAATCGACGAGCAACTTAATATTCCGACTGTACTACCTAAAATTCAATACAAGAGCCGCAGAAAGGTTGTATTGAATAACCAAGAGCCAGACCAATTATCGGAAAATCAGAACAGCAAGGGTACTGAGGGGGAAGCGGAAAGAAATCCCATTACAAACGAAGATTTAAGTCGTGATGTGAACGAGCACAAAGATGAAGATCTTCAGAATAATGTAGCTGATACTAAGGACAGTGAAAAAGACCTTGTGGTAGAGCCAACAAAGGACTTAGAAGTCCAACCAGACTCCTCACTCTCAAAGGAGGTCATTCCCCAAGAGCAAGAGGCGCAATCACCAAATATTGAGAATTTTGAAGAACCATCACAGCCTATCGAAGAAACTTCTAGCTTAATCCCCGAGGAGCAGCACATCGAGCTTGAAGAGAAACACCAAGCTGATCAGCAGCCCGAATCTGATGATATCGCGCAAGGTAGTCAAGATCATTCCAAACCAGAAACATTGGAGCCTATAAAAGAAATGACCAAGGAGATTGATGACGCACCTGAGCCTTCCCAAGAGGATACAACCGTTAGGGTAGATGAAACCCCAGAGGAACCAATTGAATTGACTCGTTCAATTGATGCTCTACAAAATGAGACCAGCGACAATGTAAAGCAAATAATGTATCTCAAGAACCGGAAATGATCAAGGATCATATCGAAGATAGCCAATCAACTGAAACTTCTCAGGAAGATGAAAACGGCAGCTCAAAGCAAGACAACAGCCTAGTAGAGGCACCAACAGAAGCCGAGACTGTACCAGTGCTTGAGCCACATGAATCCCCCGAAGACAGAGCAGCCAGAGAAGAAATAGCTAAGCTGAATGAGGAAATTCGACGTGCTATGGAGGAGGAAGCAAATGAAGCAATGGTTCCTCATTCGGAAGCCAAGGATGTTTCTCCGAATGCGCAAACTACAGAATCGGAGGTGTCACATGCTCAAGAGACTATTGAGGCTGAAAATCTTGCCAATGAAAACGATTCAGAGGACAAAGACCTCGTGGAGGAAGATACGTTACCTCAAGACGACAGCACACCAGTTACCGAGGCTTCCGACATTCAGATCGAAAATGATGACTCTGAACCAAAGACAATTCCCGAGACAGTTGAAGTTGAGAACGCCCCAGAAGATCAAGTTGTCTCTGAAAGCAAAGAATCCGAACACGAAAAAGAATCTCTCGAACCAGAAGTGCAATCGGACGATGTAACACATGATCCAGTCCAAATTGAAACCGCAGATCGAGTTCTAGCTGAGGAGCCTTCGGTAGAGAAGCCTTCATTAGAGGACGCATTAAATGATGATTCCCCACTTGAAAATTATGAAGCGTCTCAAAATGAGACATTGGCTGTCGATGAACCTGCGAGTGGTGCCCAACACAGCACAATTGACGAGATGCCCTTGAGCTTGAAGAACAAGGCAATCTCATCTCCTGTGCCTGATGAAGAGTTCGACACTGCTATCAATGATCAGGGTGACTCGGAGATAGAGAATGGAGATATTATGATGCCCGAAGAGCCTGTAATCCCAAGTATACAAGAAGACACTGAACAAGCATCAATTGAGGCGAAGGAAACACACGACGACCTAGAGCAGGTACACAACGAAGAGTCAAACATTCTAAAGCAATCTATGGAAGGAGCCGTTGAGATACCACTTCCAGAACCAGTCGATGCAGAGGTTGAACAACTAGATGAGGCACCAGAGATAATTTATGATGACTCGGAATCTGCCTATGAAAGTGAGAACGCCGCACTCGAGGAACCTGAAGTTCATGCAATTCAAACGCCACTACCTAAACCAGTGGAATCAGAGAGCGCTCAGCTTAATGAGGAACCAGCACTAGAGTCTGAACCCTTGCCAAATAATCTACCAGAAGTTGACAAAGACCAAGAGGAAGCTATCGAATCAACAAATGCTGAAGATGCTGTCTCCGAACCTTTGCCTAATTCTACTGAAGACACACAGCCTACTGTGGCCGAGAAAGATGTTGACGGTGAAGAGCCCACAGATACCAAGGCGTCGGAACACGAGAACGAATCTAAAGACGAGGACGTAATTTCAGACCAAGATCACACCGAGCAAGTTAAAGAGTCTGAAAAGGACCTTGAAGATACTGCAAGCATGGATTTAAAACCTGAAGATACCGAAATTTTGGAGAGCGTACATGCTCCCGAAAGACAGGAAGCATTGCCAGCTGTCTCAGCCGAAGTGGGAGAGGCGATAAGCATCTCTAACGAAACATTTCCACACTCAGAGCCAACTCTAGATGTAGGGTCGGCAGAAATCGAAGGCCATGAGAGTTCCGAAACTCATGTATTAACTACCGATTCAGAATCTGCAAGCAAGGACAATGATGTTGTCAATGAAGCTACTGTTCTGTCGCAAGAGGAGCATCATGTCGAAGATACTGATATTGGTTCTATTACAAACCCTGCAACGGACACCAATACAAATCACGAAATGGAGTTATCTGAAACTCATGATATCGCTTCAGACAACACTGTCGAAGAGACTGAGATAGCTGCCAAGCCGGTTGTTACGGTCCCCGGACCAATCCAAGAGGCAGTTGAGTCTCCTGATGTTGGTACACGTGATCTAGACGTACCAGTCGAAGGCGACGTAGAGACAGACGAGAAACTGGATGAAGAAGCTCCTTATAGCGATTTAAATGAGATCTCGCAGACCGTTGATGATCCTATTCAATTGCCAGGTCACATCAAGTTCCGAATTGGTGAGCCAGCTACTGTTCAGCAAGAGAATAGCAATGCACCAGAGAGTGAGCCCCCCACCGAAGAACAGGAAACTATCCCTGAGATGTTAGTTCCTGACACTGAGGAAAAAGATCTAAAGCTCGGTCAAGAGAGCGAAGAATCGGTGGTAGAGGCTAATAGTACTGCGCCAGTACCAATAGTTGAGGAAACACCCACACCTGGTCCTGAAGAATTTGAAGGCACTGGAGAAGCAGCTTTGAATCTTGATGTTGGGTCGCCGCTTCCTTCGCCCACACTTCAACAGACTGCTGGTGACGATGATGATGAAAGTTCCCACTTAGGTGACGTGGCTCAAGATGAGAACCATGTGAATTCAAAGGAAATAAGCCTCGAAGAAAATTCTGAAGATAACACAACTTCTCCCCCTCACATGATCGAAAGTGTGGAACTAATGGCATCAAGTCAAATACCCTCTGAGGATATTCAAACGTCTGAAAAAGTGATTGAGACTGAGCCGTTGATTTGGGAAAATGAAGCGCCAATACAGCAACAAGTCGAAGAAGTCCCAGAGCAGACAAATGATGATGCTATAGTGGAGACTCAAGAGCATCTTGAAGACAAGGAACTTCCCGCTATTTCTATTGATGAGCCAATGCATCTTGTTGATGAAACACGATTGAAAGAGAGCACAGCAGAATCTGAAAGGCAGCAAAATACAAATTTCGCGCCTGAGACCGTTACCTCGGTACCAGAGATATCTGCCCTGGAAAGCGTGAATGGCGAAGCATTTGAAGTGCCGTCTGAGGTAGAACAAATAAATGCCGAGAGACACAACGATAATGATAAGGACAGCGTTAATGACAAAATTGCCGATGCTGTTCATGAAGAAAGCGAGATCGACGAGACACAAGACCATCACGTTGAAGAGTCTAGAGAAACTGACCATCCTATTAATCTCGAGACAGAAGATGAGTCACACATAAGTCCAAACAACTCAACCAATTCTGAACCCGTCCACAATGAACCCTTACTTCAAGAGAACGAACAGCCTGCTGCTATCGAATCAGAGCAAGTCAAGATTGAACCGGTATTGAAAGTGGCCAATTCAGATATTCTATCTCCACCTCCACAAACACAACACGAAGACCCTGAGGATGTTCGTGCAAGAGAGGAGATTGCTCGTTTGAATGCAGAGTTTATGAAAGCTGTCGAGGAAGAACAAGCTGCTGAACAAGAGACTGAACCTGTCGACATGAGCACAGAGAAGAATAGCAATGATGTCGACAAAAATGAACTTGTTGAAGCAGAGCAAGAGAGACCAAGAAGAGAGAGTGCCGAAGATATCGCAGCCAAAGAAGAAATTGCCTTGTTGAATGAGCAAATGAAACAGCTAAGTCAACAGCAAGATAATGGGGATAAATCTGCTGAGATTCAGGGTGAAAAAGAAAAGAACCATGTTGTCGATGAAAATAAACCTCAAACACTCGAAACGAAAGAGTCATCGGGTACCCTGAACAAAACCCCTCAAAATGAAGAACATACGGAAGAGGAAGATTTTCACACCACACTCATTCAACAAGATGAGCATCTAAATCCTTTCGAACATCCAGATGCAGTACTAAGTGAGGAACAAAGTGCTGAGTCAATCACTGACGAGCCAAGTGCTGAAGTTAACGCTTTACAGTATGAGCATGAAGATCATAATCCAGAAGACTCGGGCTCGGAAGGTGAAAGGACCGAACAAGGTGAGGAAACAGAGAACTATTCTGAAAGCGAAAACGAATGGGATCAATCCTCAGAAGAAGAAGAGGGGCCGCTTCCTTATCTTGAGACAATCCGGGAAGAATCACATGATGGTGCCTCCCGTGTCGGCGAAGATGACGAGGATGACGATGAAGATGAAGAAGACATGCCTAAGAGTAGATTCTTCCATTCACATTGGCAGTATGAGGACTCCGGTGATGATAATGGGTTGAAAGAACAAAGAGATAACAACCCGTTAGTATCAGAGTCAGAAGATCCAGCTAACAAGGAAGTCTCAACAGGAATCCTTCAAGACGAGCTTGGCCATCCAAGCGGATCCAATCTTGAGGTTTCAAATTCTGGGCCGAGCAAAAGATCACATACACCAATGGCATTAATGTTTGGTTCCGATGTCAAAGATACAGAGTCACCTCACGAAGTCAGCTGCACAGATAAATTAATCGATGGCAGTCCAGAGGCACCAATTGAAAACGCGATCATCTCTAATTCTACGGATCTGCCACGAGTGTTAGAGCCAAGTCCTGACATTGAGGAAAATCGTGGAAAGTCCGAGCCGGTGGAAGAGGAAGATCTTGTCGAGAATAACAACCTCACTCCAAAAGCTAAACCTCGACGTCCAGCATCGATGTATCACCGAAATAGTGATTTAAGTCCAGAACATGAAGCAGTATTCTCGAGAGTTTCACAAATTCGAAGCAGTCTAACACCTTCACCGGAACCACATCCATCACCTGTATTGAGTCCTAGAGCAAGATCTGAGAGATTTCCACCGGATGAACACAGAAATTACTTAGATGCCTCTATTAACAACGCCTATAATGGATGGGGATATCCTCAAGACGGTGATCAGCAACAAGATTACAGAACTCAATCGAATAACGATAATGGTCGTAACCGTTCTCATACAGTTGATACAGTTCCATCATTCGAACATTATGCATCAGATGATGGTGAATCAGGTCCTCCGACTCCACCTCAACAACCACAATACTCTGATGCTGTGTCTCAACAACCACACATTAGTCAGATGATGGCAACAGAATTTGAATCGTCGGAAGGATGGTCACATCAAAATGATGATACCCAGGATGATTCAGCAAATCAAGAACAAAACCTGGATGAAATTATCAAATCTCCTAATCTACAAGATGCTGCGGAATTTGATCCTTTCAACCCACAAGATTACAAATCTCCAATTATAAGTCCTGCACATTCATCTTCCTTTCACGTAAGCAACGTGCATTTGGATCAAGAAAATCCTCCAGTTCTAGCACCAACTCCACCATCGCTCATTCCTTCTGAGAAGATCTTGAGCTCCAATGCACCTGTATCGGCCCCAATATTCACGGCTCAGACACCCATTCAGACCGAAGAGAAGTCATCTTCTGAACTACCCCCAAATCTTCATTCCATTCCTTGGACACAGTCAGAAGATCTCTCCAAAACCGCAGCCGTAATTCAGGAAAAAAAAACCCCATCCCCACAACGGAATCCAAGACCTGTTAGTTCCATCTTCGCTCGAACACGTTCTCTATTCGAAGCAGGAGCAAACGATTCAAGTCCACCGCCTAAACAAAGACCGCTTTCCGGAATGAGCATTTTCAATGTTGGTTCACCGAATCGTTCGAACACACCGGTTCAAACTAGACCACATAGTCTTTCGGTCTCGAGTCTGAGAAGTAGGAGTGAGAGTTTGTCAAAGAGATCGAGTTTGAGTTTTGGGGAGAATGCGAATGTTAAGGCTGATGTAAACGCGAATGCCAAAGTCAATGCCAATGCGAACGCAAAAGATGACTATGATCCAGATACAGATGCAGACTTCCTGCCAAAGAGTCTAGATGGCGATGGAAGATTACCTAGTCCGGTCTTTGGATTACCGGGGCATAAAAGTAGTGGAAGTCTTGATGGAGGGAGACTATATGGAGATATAGATGATCCCTTTTTTACGAATGGTGGGGACAAGGGGAGTACGGGATGGATGGGGGGCATGAGGGGTGCGGAGAGGGAACCTCTCTTGAAGGATGGAAATTGACTTGTTCACCCTGTATCTTTAAGGAAACAAAAGGGGTTTAGAAGGACTAGAAAAACGAGATGGAGAGCTGGTAGAATGACTAGGAAAGTGAAGGAGAAGGGGAGAGATGAGGTTGAGAAAAGAACAGAGGGGACAGGAGAGAGGATAATTGCGAAGGGAGATTACAAATTAGCTCATGCATGGGTAGAAGGATGGAGGGAAAGATTGAAGAGAACGAGCGGTTTGGTGGATAAGGTGAGGGAAGATGGAAAGTATGAGGGAGAGGTCACGAAGATTGATGTAGGCTGGTTGGAACAGGGGGTCGGGAGGATGGGGACCTAGAAAATTGGAATGGGGAAACGGAGTAAGCGAGGATTTTGACTTGGAAAGGGGGTTGGCTCACTAGGATATCGTGAGAAATTGGAAAGGGGAGTTTGGCTTAAAGGGGAGTTTGGGTGTATTTTGTATATCTATGTATGTTTATTTGTGTATGTGTATATGCTCTATTTGGGAATTCTAGGTAGCTATTCTGTATGAGATTAAGTCCATCAATCTTTTATCTTCAAGTGTAACCCCATCTTTCTCTTCTCTTCACTGAACTCTTGACCTACCACACCACGTGATACACAAACTACATGATCCATCCCCCCATCGTATTTCTCATCACCCATAGTCCTCGACCGACTTTGTGCAAACCAAAGGCTTTGGTGTAACAACAAATAAGATAGGCGGTATAATCTGGACATTTGCCATGCCAAATAAACTAAATATGTATGTAGATAGATAGGTACCTAATGCCAGACTTCCAGTCATCTACATATACATGCATATGAGACATACATGTAGAATTTGACAAGTAAATTTTGTTTGAAAGAAAGAAAGGGTGAGTTAGGTGCTGTACTGTATAGTGGATATGGACGGAGGAGTGTGCCGATGGGGAAGTGGTAGGTGGTGTGGTGTAGTGCAGTGTAGTGTAGTGTAGTTTGGGTAACTTGGGTTTCGATATTTGATATTTGGTAGCGAGATGCAGGAGTTACGAGGTGTGCTTGAGGGTTAGGAGTATAGGGGATGGTGTTTGTTGGTTGGTTGGTATATTGGTGTTGGCTGTGTTGGAATGCAGGAATTTTCGTTATTTTTATTTCATGGAGATACTTAGGATGCGGAATGCGGGATGCGGGTATGGTATAGAACGGAACGGAACGTTTGGTGTTTTGGTGATTTGGAAAACTGGAAAACTGGAAAACTGGAAAACTGGAAAATTGAGAAAGTGGGAAATTGAGAGATTGAGAAATTGGATATGCAGCTGAGGCTTTGGGAAATGCGAACGTCTGGATCGGGGTTTAAAGGTCGGCTATGCGCGTGAGAGGCGATTGTTGGGATCTTGTATTTTTGATGTATGAGTGATAAATAGAAGGCGCTGTTGGGACTAGATACTATGACTTTAAGCAGGATGCGAGAAGCCGGTCTCTGATGCATATGCAGTGAGGTATTCGGGGTAGTGAGGGCTACTAGAGGGCGTTTGAAAGCGTTTGAGGGACATTTGGGAGGGAACTTAAAGACTAGAAAGTGATAGGTGCTGTGTGTTCGAAACGGCTCTTCTGGATAGCATAATAGAGATTGAGAGGAGAGAGTATAAGAAGCGGTTGTTGGGATCTAAAAATCACAATAACAACGTTGAAAATCTATCAGAACTCAATCGCTGTTCTTGGATCCAGCTAAATTATCCCCTGTAATACGTTCACCACACCTTTTTGTAGAGATGAGGCGCATATTTGGCGCGGTCGATTGCTTGCAGAGCTGCACGCTACAGATATCTCATTCAAGACGGAAGGCTTGAGGAATTATATTTGCAAGATAATGCGTTGCTTTCGGATTGGATCGAAGATTAATTCAAGCTTCTGGTGTGTTGTGAATATTCTAAAATTGCTTGACCTCTGCTTATCTGCAGTCTCCCGACCGGCTTCAGTGCAGAAATCATACCGGTTGAAGAGCATGTATGAATCTTTCCCTCAATCCGATATTATGGGTAGCCGGAATTGTGAATTTGCAGCATGAGATTGATAGGTAGATTTGAAGCTTTTGTAGCTCGCAGCTTTTGAAACATCTGTATACCTATTCCTCGGAGTTGTTAGAAACATGGTCTGGCCACGTGGGTCGTGTGGATTATTCGGAAAGATGATTGCAAAGAACGTGAGAGAAAATTGGAAAGTCGCAGTGGGTAGACATGGCTTCACCACTTAAGGAGTGATTATAACGAGATCGAGTGAACTAAAACCAGTTGAGCATGAGACAAAGCTATCAAACGGTACAAAAGCAAACGGGTGGCTGGAGAGATGTGAGTCTAGAACCAACTGAATAATTTGAGGCGCCCCATCTCAGAAGACTGCAATTCCAATTTTAGATACATAAACATTCAGTATATCCATAAGCTATGATTCATACGAAAAACACGATAGTTCCGGATGGGAGAGACTTCCCTAGCGCAAGATTAGACAAGACAGGTAATGAGAATACTCATGATACATCTCTTCTGCTGCCTAAAAGGGGTCGTATAGATATTCGTTTGCTAGGTGTTTATTTGAGAATCAACTTGTGCTGCACAGTTTTTAAGACGCTAAACTATTTAGAATGAGATATTTGCTTGCCAAGAAGCTTATACTGCAAGGCATTCTATGTAAGATATGCATGACTCTGTATCTGGGTAAAGTGAGTCAACAACCGCATCTTTAGTCTACTTTATCCTCAAACTTCACGTATATCGATCTAGAATGTGTATGACTACACAATCAATATAGTGTGATATCGAATGAAGCGGGGGATTTGAGATTTTGCGGCACTTATGAGACTTTTATTTATGGCGTGATGAACAGAAGGATTGAGAGATTCAACCCCAAGGCTATGAAGCGGTATTGGTTAATTTTCGAATTGGAAACTTACAGATGGCGACATGCATCTGTCTAACAAGATAATAAAATCCCGGATCTGTTCTATTTTATAGGGTGTGAAGTCAAAGTTCTCAGTGACTTCGAATTAGATTTTAGGAAAGGCACCAGAGTTTAACATACAACAACACAATTAAGTAATAGATTCTGAGCTAATGATCTCGGAAATCATAGTATAGAGTAGATCAACCCCGCACCCTTCCTTTTCCGTTAAAGCATGATCCTAAACCTAGGGATAATCACAATGAAATGAAACTTTTGTCTTTGAAAACCCACATGACAACTGATTTTTCCTCATGATACTATTCTGATGCATCTCAAACCTTACGCTTTTCTAGATCAAGCCAGATATTCTGCCAATGAAATAAACCGCCTGCTGTAACACGCTTGGGTGGACCAGGTATTTCCTTACTCGATGCACATAACTTGAAGTCAAAACTACGAAAGAACTAGATAGTGTGTTTGTCAGTAGATGTTAAATTATCAATTGCTTGGTAGCAGAAAAGAGACATACCATCAAAGGACCTTTCATCAACTCCATATACGCAAGGTCCTTGCCTAAGCATATTCTTGATCCATATCCCCAAGTGAAATTGTACTTCTCAAAAAGCTTCGCCTTTTCATCATTTTCAAGCCATCGTTCGGGGCGAAAAGTCTCGGCATCTTCACCATATATTTCCTTGTCGCGGTTTGCAAAATAGGCAGAACAGCTGATTTCAGTACCGACTGGAATTACTTTGCCATCAATTACTAGAGGAGGTTGATGGGCCATTACTTCTCGAGGAAAAAGTACTGGTGAGGATGGGGTAAGTCGAAGAGCTTCTTTTATGCATGCAACATAAAACGGACAATGCTTTGAAACTTCTGCGGCTGTTGGAACAGGCTGTGAAAGATTTCCGGCCGCAAATCCGGCATCTATCTCAGCCACCATTCGTTTATAATCACCAGGCGACGAGAGGATATCGGTTACAATGGAGCTGAAGGATGTACCCGTAGTATCTGCTCCGGCAATTAGGACAACCAAAACTTCGGCCTCCAATTCATCTCGGCTCATAGGGTTTCCTTCGGGTGTTCTGGCCTCGAAAAATCTTTAGATAATTTATAGATTAGCTGGCTGCCGAATCCTGAAGGGCTAAGAGGACTCACGATTTTAGAATATCTACACGATCTCTTCTTTTTCCTTCCTCAATTTCTGTAATTCTCGCATTGATGATTTTATTTCTCCATCTCATCAGCTGACCCATGCCATTCTTCATATCTGGTGTCGCGGTAAAGAACCGACCTAATGGCCCTGATGTTACCCATTCTACAAAGGGGTATAAATGCGCCATGACACCAAATATCTCAATGCCATCATGTACACTTTGAATCAATCCGCCCACATCTTCTCCATTCTCGACAAAGCCTAAAGCTTGCCCGAATCCCACTTCACTGATTGTGTCAAATGCAAAGTAAGTAGCCCAACTTGCCATATTCACAGGTTTTCGAGTCTCGACAAAAAGCTCATTCAGTCTCGTAAGCCATGCCGAGACTATCTTATCAACGAGGGGCTCGGCTTTTATTATCTTTGAGTATGAGTAAGGAGGTCCTATAAGTCTTCGACGATAAGAATGTGCTTGATGGTCGCGAATACTTATAACAGGTTCAGCAGGGAAACCTCCATTGCTGTAGAATCTGGATTTGACTGCATTGCGGTGATAAATGATGGGTAGAGCGAGGGCTGATTTGACTAGGAGAGTTGTGGGTGAAATGCGTATTACAGGAGCTATACATGCAATGTTTATTAGTGACTATCATCTTCAAAGGTAAATGACATCATAAGCACCTTTCGTTTCTTTGAAGAGATTCTCATAGACTACCAACTCGCTTTGATTGTAGCTCTGATAAGTATACCAAAGTCTGGTAACGGTACCCCAGAATGGACCTGGATAGTTTTTAAGAGGATGGAAGAAACGATAGTAGACAATCTGATACAGAAAACTGGCTAAAATCCAGCCAATAATCGAGCAAATTCCATTGAAAAGGGTCAAATAGGAAGTGAGATTTGCTGATATTGTCCGAGGGGTCTCCATTATGATATGTCTTCGTATAAATAGCTCTGACAGACTTAAGATTCAATCAACCTGGTTAGAAAGATTATATGAGTGATGCAGAGAGGTCGACGATTGAAGATTTCAATGTGAGGAGTTCTTGATAGATAGTAATGTATTTACAAACAAGCTTGCATCCTTTTATGAACAATTTCTTCTTTCGTGTATGGCAATGACGAATTGGTCTTACTTCCGTGGGATTTTCGACTCATATTCACTAATACTCACTCACTGTACAACATGAACTCCCTTTACCCCGCTCCATGGAACATTGAGAGCTCATGGCTTGGAAGAGGTCGCTTATTATACTTGCTATGATACCTAGATATGTATAGACGTCAATACTATTCATCGTGGAGTAAATGAAGGGGTAGGCTTAATTCTTGCTCAGTCTGTGGTTAGACGTCTTTGGACTCAGACAGTATTATTAATAAGACTACTTTGATTGAATTGGCTTTAGATGAATAGGTTAATTGGGCGGTGACCAGAAATAGCTACTAACGGCAGAATCTCTGACCGACGTTGAATTTTGAACATACGCGACAGACAGTTAGAAATGATAAATTTCCGCAGATTTCTCTAGCAAAGGTATGTACAAACTGAAGAAAGCACCTGAGTACTTGATTGCTACGTCTGTATGGTTCCAGAGAAAGGATAATTCATACTGACTATAAAGTTGGTGCTACAGAGCTCGAGAGATCTCCCTCGCGTCGCATACACTCGACCACAATTCATTTCGACTAATTGAACCTCAAGCTAAGCCTTTCATTACATTACGATATCGGCATTTAGATTAAGCAATCTCCATGATACTCGAGATGGCAAAACTTCTGTATTATTCGCACACAGTCACGATATCGGGCCCTAGTTTCAAGAAGGATATGTCAATGGACGCATTAGAAATGATCATTGCAATGTGCTGGAATTGATCCCTCTATTCATTGTCTACTCTCTTCCACACCCATTTTAAATCCTTTGTGCCTCTACATGCTTCAGGGGGTATCTCTATAATATATGCCAAACAAGATGCAAACCAAAAATACAAAATAATACAGGCTGAGCAAGTGGTTTTGGGAATGTTGCAACTTGACTCGAAGGAGGTGAAATACAGTTAGCGGAGCTAAGGACATTGATGGTCTTAGGAACATTTGCGCTTCGCGGGGCGACAAGGTGTATCCAAGAGATTGTTGAGTAATGGATGGCTTCTGACAGGAGAGACACCATTAAAATCCCTCACATCTCGAGCCTCCTTTGAGATATCCTCTGTTGCTGGCCATGTGGATTGTTCGTTCTGCCCGCCAATCACAATATTGGCTGCTTTGGAGGTCTGTTGAAGATTGGATGCTCCGAACGCTCGAACGTGTCACCTTCTTTGTAGGCCTCTCGGGAGCACCCGTGGAAGCTGGTTTAGTTGCCCGCGCAGGCGCAACTTGTCGCTGTCCGAAACCGAAGCTTTGAGGCAAATTCTCTGAAATCTGTTGGATATCTGTAGTTGATTTTACTTGGAAATTATTGCAGAAGGTATGTTGTTGTCCATTTGTAGAAAACATCATGACGCAATACTTGCAATTCACGCCTGTCATTACGGCGTGTATTGTACACCTTATCATATAAGATGGCGTCAATTCGTGAAACCTTTTTTGTTTCAACTCCTTTAGGTCGATGCCACTATCCATTGGGTTCCACCGAATCCTGTCCAATTTCTCAGGGTCGCGAATCAATGCCCCATGTGTATTAACCAATCGCCCGTCCTGGCGCAAGAATACAAATCTCTCTCCTTTGTCAGGCGTATAATTTATGGTGTATACCACGTCTTCGAAATTTAGATCTTGGAGTGACGTGGTCGTGGAATAGCGTACGCGGGCGTCCTTGAATCCCTCAGATGAGACTTTGTAACTGGAGTCGACCAGCTGACCCTTCCTGGCCAAGAAGTAGACCACAGATACATAGTGTTTGCCGTCTCTCTGATTTCTCCACGTGTCTTCATTTCTATATCCTTTACCGCTGAAGCGCCTGACTGAAGAATTGATTTCCTGGTAGGTGACTATACCAACTGTATACTTCAAAGGGCGGCAGGTGATGAAGTCTTCCTGGGACCTTAGCCAGACAGCGCCTTTTACAATATGTGCTTTGTTGTGGCGTAGTTGACACATTTTTAGGTGATGAAACTCTATCCGCAGTGCTTCGGAGATATATGTGTTGAGGCACATACTTCTACTCATTATCAAATAATCAGGAACAAATTCTCTATCTTGATTCACTAGTCTTTAGACAACAGCTATCAATCTCTCCATAGGATTAGCGAAACACTGCACGATTTCTTCGTGATAAAGTTTCAGCTCATTCGCCAGACCTAGCATTAAAAGGCAGAATGGCCGCGGGTCTTTCGAGATTCCAAAATAATTGTTGTATCCTTTGTTGAACGAGTTCAAAGCGTGTTGGGTACCTGTCAACTTGTAGGTGACCATACACTTATAGAATCACTGTTAGTATGAAACCAAAAATACCTACTTCGATATGATAGGATCTTGGACTAAAGCATTCTGCACCTGTTCATGTGCAATCGTTGAGCGTCCCGGTGGTACTGGAACGATAACCTCGATTTTTAGGTCTTCGAGGTTTGGTATCATCCCCTTTCTCAGAGCTGGCAAATTGCCGAAGGAGTCATAAATCAGCTCTTTATACACAATCGACACTCAGTCCCGCGAGAGGTCCTCCCTCGTTTTGTTCAATTTCTCTAGCCTTGCTAGCATTGGTTTCTGAAGTGAGGCGGTGACCGGGTTCCTAATGTCGTGGAAAAGTAGCTTCCATAGAGGGAAAAATCGCTCTGTGTTGAATGGTATTGCGCTGTCCAGCAGCATCCTCAATTCGTTAGCAGTCACTGGCAAAGCCTCCTCCTGATTGTTTTCGTTATAGTAGAGTGCTGTCGGAGAAAACTCATCTCCACTTCCCCAAGAGCCCTTCCAGTCGGCAAACAGGAAAGGTTCTGGCTCATGCTGGTGCCCAAGCTTTTGATCGCCGCTCGGAATTAGTAAATCGGCAACCGCACCCCTGGTAGTTCCCATGTCTATGCCCATGATCAATCTACCTTTCGACGCCGACTGATCATTGACGACACTTTTCGATTCCATAGCAGACATTTTCGGAGTATAAATTAGTCCAAGTAGGTAGAACACAAAGGTGCTCAGTGCTGGATGTTACATAGGGATCTGTTATCATCAAATTTTCTTCACCAGGCTATGCCAAGCTAATCGAAATATGTATGCTAGGACAAGTGTAAAGCTTGTGAACGACTATGCTCAGAGACAGTCCTGTCCCGCGCTTGTGCAACTAACGTGCCACATTACATTATAGTAACTATTAGCTAGTGCATATTCCCAGTTTGAATGGTTACACAGCATTAGATCCTTTCTGAATTACTGAGTTGTCACCAAAACAGCTCACCTAATTCGTCAATCCGTACTTTGCCATGTGCATATTCTGCTACATGTTAACTGGGGTCATTCAAGACGCCTTCTTCAAGAGTGCTATACCACCATTAATTAATGCAAACTGGCTTGAAAAGACTGGATGTCAAGGGCTTTCATTTGTATCTGCCTAACTGCAGTGTTAGTGGCGTGGTCTTGTCTCACATACCGATTGTTACCAGTTTTGCAACAAGGATTGAGAGCACCAAAGACTGCAAGATCACCTCACCGAGCTGTTCCCTTGCCTTCAAGATGATAGATCGTTATCCATTGAGATAACTAACGTTCTTCACAACAAGATTTTACTTTGTTGTTTCACATCCAATACACAAGGAAGATAATCTACTTCCCAGACAACAAAATGGCAATGTCAGTCTTTGCCCCAAATATGAGCCCCATTACCGAAAATCTGCCTGTCAGTGCCGCTGAAGTACAGCCACTAATTGGCAGCTCAGCTAGTGAGAGGAATCTTCGTGGTAGGAATTTTGATGCTTTAGACTTATATCTGCCGCACAAAATGCTAACAAAGCCCTAGAATTAATCAAATCGCCTATAGTGGCTCCCACAGTAGAGGAACTCGCATCTCATCCAAGTACTACTGACTCTAGTCTTTCAACCATCACGAATATATCCAAAGCACAGCAAATTACATCATCGGATTCGTTCATCACCATATCATTGCAAGAGCAGATTGCGAAAGCACTAGTTTTGCCAAGACTCAAGCGTCACCATGCTATGCCAGCTTATTTTTCCGTTAAGGGTAACCTCAACTCGAAACTTTCTCATCTTAGGACGCGCCGATGCACGCAATGCGAGCGACACAGGCTGCAATATCTAAAGGAAAGCGCCCATATGGCATGTAATTCATGCAAATATTCTAGAAAAAAGTGAGTCTTTAACACCCAATTTTTGAAGGCAGACAGACTCTTGAACTTTAAGGCATCGGACAAGAACAAGGCCTCTGAGCAGTCCAATACAGAAGTGTCTCAAATTCGGGGTCTAATAGCACTTGAACACAGATCTGTCTATGAACGTCAATCGACTGACGACACAATACCTCAACCAAAATTCGGTGAATTCATTGGCCTTGTCGACATATACCACGGTTTACGCACAGAGACAAACAGAAACATTATGGTCCAACAGGATTGGATTTAGGTATCTCGAAAGGGAAAATGATGCACAATCACATGCCTTTGTGAGGCAAAGCTGCGATATAGACAACATTCGTTCTAGACTCGGTAGAGCAAGCATCAATGACGACAAGATCACCAGTCCTTAGCATGTCTAGAAACATTGATGCTCCAATACACTGAACTGGTAAAAGGTAGTGCTATGGCACCATTGGCTAGGGCCAAAAACTTCTGGGAACCTGTTTGCATTGAGGATGAAAAAGTTCCGGCTTCGAATGCTGGCACAACGTTGGCTAACATTCGCGGCTTATTGGATGTTCCAACTGCGGTACTTATCAGGCACAAGGTTGACTATCCTTTGCTGAAGACGCATTTGAAACCATTGAATTTTTTGAAGGGAGTAGTTGCATACATTATATGCGATTTTACTTTCCTAGGAAGCTCAGCTTTCGGTGACGATACAATATTGTAGAAGACAGCATACCTTTGTAGGATAAGACGCCACCTGCTTTTCTAGAAAGATTTCACTGATCAATTGATTGCAGGCTTTTCCAAGCACGTTGCAGATTTATTTTTGCAGGAATATCACCGGCAAATGGCAGAGACCCAGCCTTTTGAAGACCGCATGAAATTGCGTCGCACGAGCATGTCAGAAAAAATGAATATGATCATGCAGCCCTTGATGCTGGTGATAATACGAACAGTTTTCACGAAAGCATGGCAAAAGTGGGCAATGAGCTGCACACCATCATAGGTTCATACAAAGGAGAGTTTGAAAGCATTTGGGCGCCTCCAGATTCAAAGTTCAACTCAAGTATACACGCCCTGGATGACTCCCAATTGTATCCGAACTTTTGTTACCGAAGGTGGAGATATCCTCGTAACCACATGTTTTGGAGTCAGGTACAAAGCTCCAGGTATAGACTGGAGAGTTCGTTTCCCCGCAAAAGCAATCTTAGCCACACCAACCATGGTAAGATCAATAGCCAAGCGCGGTCGGGAGGAAGATGTGCCGCCTGCTCGGAAGTCTCGAAAATGATCTCCCTTGATTATCACAACGCGGATAAATCATTTTAGACACCTTATTTGAGCTTTACAATTCACTTTACAGCCGTTGTGTTATTTTTTGTCACAGATTAACTTCTGGCATTCTAACGTTACCTAAATTCTAAACACGTATAATGTAGAGCTCAGCCAATCATTTTGCATCTCCTTTTCTTGGCGGGTTGGCAGCAGGTTCGAAGCTCAATTGATATTTCTTTTCATTCCGTTGTCATACTCGTTAAATGAAGGGGCTTACTCATTTAACATTTCGGTACGGCGGCGAGATATCCGAATCGCAATTAATTCTCTCAAGATTAAAGTCTAGTTGTTTCTTGGTTGGGATCGAAAAATAGAAAGACTACCTCGGGTGAGAATAGGATATCTCTGCATGGTGTCAATGATTTTCGTTGGCTTGGTTACAGTGCATTTAGGCAGTCTATTTAACCTTAGTAACCACGTTTCCCAACAGTCATGGATTGATTAACAACAAATCATACTCGTACAACGTGTAAACCGGCAAGTCGCCGGAAAAGCTTGTATTCATTTTGTCATTACCCCGGATTTCCCCAGACTTTAGTCTCTTTTGGCTCTCGAGCCTTGTGACCCCACGTTTTATGGGGTCGGAAATGTTGAGAAATTTTCCACCTACAAGGAGAGTCCATTAGCCGAATCGACGGTCTAATTTCCTCTTTTTGCAAACCTTTGTCAGAAGATAGTAAATCTTAAGTAAGGATCTTAACAGGCCCTCCTTTTTCATTCATTCAAAACAAGGTTTTTATTTTTGGAAAATGGAGAAGGGCGCAAAAGTGGAAAATCGTTCGGAATTAATTTCAGCACATCGGGGTCGGTACTTTTTATGTCGTATTACGTCTTAGGACTTGAATCCACCGAGTGTCCACAGTTCAGTACCCATTTGTGTTTAAAAGTGTACATTCAATATTTATAGATGTCAAAAAATATCGCATGGATATACGTTTCCGGCTAATCTGCAATCATTGGTGGGATGGACGAGGATCTACCGTCCAAATTTCTGTATGTATTCACACTTGTTTGATAGGAAGCGTGGACAAAGTCGTTCACGGGTTCTTCTACGCGGTTGCAGATATACCGAAAATGCTGAACCCCCTTTGAATACGGAGTATTCAAAAGATACGTGATCGCCAGTTGAAATAGTCGATCTTTGCATGTACATTATTTCTTCCTCACCTCTCTCTATTGTCAAAATGAAGTCCTCGGTCTTTTCATTCGTTACTGCCTCTCTATTGGCCCTACCAGCTTTTGTGGTTGGTCAACTTTCTGGTACAGTTGGTCCTACCACTACGACAGCTCAAAAAGCTGCGGTAAAGATCTGTAACATTCTCAACTACGGTGGTGTTGCTTCTGCTACCACCGACAATGGACCTGCTATTTTGAAAGCATGGACAGCATGTATAGGCGGAGGTGAAGGTATGATATCTTAAAGTCTTCTTCGATATCGTCGTCGTGCTATTGCTAACTCATCGCAAGTCTACATTCCTTCTGGAAGTTATGGTCTCGGGACTTGGGTCACCCTCACTGGAGGAACCGGTGTTTCCATTAACTTGGAGGGAACTATCTATCGAACGGGGTAAGAGATCAAATGATTGATCAAACAATCGCGACATTCACTGACGAATATTTGTGCTAGTACTGCGAGTGGAAACATGATATTCGTCGAACACACAACCGATTTCGAATTTTACAGCGGTAACTCTAAGGGTGCTATCCAGGGTTACGGCTACGTCTTCCACTCGGGTCAGTAGTCCATTGTCTTAGTACATTTAAGTCTGTGTGCTAACTGTATGATAGCGGGCACTTACGGTCCCAGAATATTGCGTCTATTTCAAGTTACGGACTTTTCCGTTCATGGTATCGTCTTGGTTGATTGTAAGCATTCACTATTCGTTCTTTTTTATCTGCATCGTACTAATTCTTCTCATAGCCCCTGCATTCCATCTCGTACTCGACACTTGCACAAATGGCGAATTATACAACTTGGTCATTCGTGGTGGCAATGAAGGTGGTTTGGATGGCATTGATATCTGGGGAACCAACATCTGGGCACACGATATCGAAGTTACAAACAAAGATGAATGTGTTACTGTCAAGGTACGGCATCAATATCATGTCTCTAAAGAAAGAAAGTCTCTAACTGTCCACAGAGTCCTGCTAGCCATATCCTAGTCGAAAACATCTACTGCAATTGGTCAGGAGGAAGTGCCATCGGAAGTCTTGGTGCTGATACTGGTAAGCTATGTTTTTTCTCGACTATATTCTCTAACTAACACCTGTCCAAGCAATCTCCAATGTCGAGTATAACCACGTATACTCCCAAAACTGCAACCAAATGATGATGATCAAATCAAACGGTGGTTCCGGTAGCTTCAAAAGTGCAACATTCGACAATTTCATGGGACATAGCAATGCCTACACCCTTAATATTGACAGTGCCTGGACCGGGCAATCCGTCGTAGCCGGCAGTGGAGTCACCTACTCCGACTTAACTTTCTCTCACTGGCACGGTACCTGTGCAAATGGTGCAGCCAGAGCTCCTATCCAATTACTCTGTCCCGCTGCCATCCCTTGCAAGGATATCACCATTTCCAGTTTCTTTGTCTGGACTGATACCGAATCTTCGGAATTGTACAAGTGCAACAATGCTTATGGTACTGGACCTTGTCTTAATTCTGGAACCACTTACACAACTTACACTTCGACTGCAACTGTTACTTCTGTTCCTGCTGCGTAAGTCTTCAATCCTGTTTTTTGGGCTATCGAATTAAAGCTAACTCATCATTAAGTTCGTATGCCTACACCACCATGTCTGGAGAAATTTCCTCGGGCCTAGGTATTAGCGTTAGCATCGCCATCCCAACTCATCCCGCATCATACTACCCAGGTATTGCTCCTTATAGCGCGCTTGCATAGGTTGAACTCCTATTTGAGTAACTCGTTGATTGATGTTCACTGTTAATCGCCGCGATATCGTCTTGTATATCGAACTTTGTGTTCGAAATTGTAAATAATTTATTTCTTGTATATAGTCGCGCTTGAAAATTTGTATATAATACCTTGTTCTGTATTTCTGCTTTAAAATTCTGACAGTAACTCTTTTGTGTGTATGGATTTTGTGATTATTGAAGCTTTAATATTTAATAAATAAATCGGGTACCCTACTTTCAAATCACTTTCCTTTTGAATTACTTTTTATATCAAAAATGGAATTTTTAACTTTCTTATTTATAAATAAAATTTATTGAAAATTTATATATATATAATTTAAATTATTTTTAGTTTATTTTGAAAATTTTAGATTTTTAGGAATTTTCTATATTAAAATCTAGAACTTTAAAATATCGATTTTTAAATTTGTATAGAAATTATATACAAATTTGAAACTTTTATAAAATCTTTAATAATATTTTAATAAAAATTATTAAAAATAAACTATAAAATTTTATTATAAATTTATAATATATTTATTTTAAAGAATTCAAAAAAAAGAAAATTTCCTATAAATTAATATTTAAAAGAATATCCTTAAAATTACAAGGATTATTTATACTATTTTAAATTCACTATATATTATATCTTTATATCTATTAATTTTTTTTTAATTTTTATATAAATTTAAATTCAAAACTTTTAAAAAGATATATAATTTTCTTTTAATAATTATTATTAAAAAGTTATTAAAGATTTTATAAAAGTTTTAAATTTGTATATAATTCCTATATAAATTTAAAAATCGATATTTTAAAGCTTTAAATCTCAATATAGAAAATTCCTAAAATTTTCAATTTTCAAAATAAATTTAAATTAATTTAAATTATATATATTTAAATTTTTATTAAATTAGATTATATATTAATAAAGATATTAATAAATTAAAAAAGTGATTTTTGATATAAAAGAGTAATTTAAAACAGGGGTGGTTTGAAAATAGGGTGGTTGATTTAGTAGGTTATTTGACAAGGGTGATATTCGATAGTCTATTCGTGCGCTAGAAAGTACTCATGCTCCACTTAGAAGTACATCCCATAGGGTGGTACACTACAAAGTGATTAATGAATCATTTTTAGATGACATGTTACATATTTTCTTACTATAATATTGAGCGATTTATAACTATATAAAGTATAATCATTATCAGATTATTATGATATATAATAATAATTAAATCAATTTTGCCCCTTATTATAAAATATAGATTTTAAAGAAATATTGAAAGATTTTTGTTAGGACAGGGATCATGTGACTACGCTAGCGTTGACGCTAGCGTCTTCCGACACTATAGTAATACGTTTCGTAGTCCTAGCTTTTAGAACCTCAAATAATATAACAATAGTATGAATTATAATACTATATTGACTTTATCATTCTTATAATAATATTAACACTGATTAGTAATATTATAGATTAGGAGTTTAACATCTTAATTTTAATTACAATATATAGTTTAAATTAAGATTAATATTTCTTTGAAAAGTTGTAAACTTTTGTATTATTCTAATATAATTTGATATTTGTCTTTATATGAATAAGAGCGGTTGATAATATAACGGCAGCTTTTATATTAACTTTAGTCTACATTTTATTTTTCATTATAATATATATTAAAGATTAAGAATTAATAGTATTTAGTTTGAGCTTAGTATTATACTCTTTGAACTTAAACTTTGTTATATTTTAATAAAGCTAATATCTCATTATCTATTTATTATCTATTAAATACAATAGGATTATTTACAGATTCTTTTATATCTTGAGAATGTTATATCAAAAATATTGAATATCTAGTTCTAAAATAATTCAATAATATTAAATCTATCAAATCTATTATTAAATTTCTAATTCCATTAGAAACTATACCTAATAATTATAAATTAATAATAAATAAATAGAAAAATTACCCTTTTGATATTAATTATATAAATAAAAAGGAAATATAAGATTTCTACAAATATAAATTATATG